CATTAGAGGTAACAGGGACACGAATGAGGTCGGCATGAGTGATGGCAAGAAGTGATTCAGCTGTCAAGCTTTGGGGCTTGTTGTCTATTCCAAAATTAACGCGCTTGGGTTTCATCATTTCTTGGAGATTCTGGGAAACTTCTTTTGATAGACCAATGACGTTACCAATAGATAGTGGGATAGGGGTGCTAAGAATTTGATCAATGATGGCTTTGGAGTCAAGATTCTGTGAAAGAGTAGATGAAGTCTTGAGCTGTTTCTTCTGTTTATCAGCAGGGGGATTCTTCTTGGTGTTTTGGGAAGCATCTTCCATGATTACATCGTCATTAGTGGGAGCAAAGATAGGCTGTGCAATATCAAAGATGTGTGGCTTTGATGGGGCAGGTGCTATGGTTGGAACGGCAGGCTTCTCTTCTTCTTTCTTCTTTCCTTTTACAGCTTTGGCCCCATCTGGCTTAGGAGGAATGTAGACACCATCAAAGACTTGCTTGCGCTTCTCCTTAGACACTCTGTCTGGACGATCCACTGCATAGACAGGCTCTTCATCTGAATCAGAATCAGAGTCAGCTACTTCAGCAATGGACATAAAAGAAGTCGTAGTGAGGAGGTTAGACTTGGGGATAGTGCGATGTACAGCAGTTGCTATAGGTTCCTCTCTTGATCGCATGATTCTAGACCCATCAGACATGACAAAGCGACCAGTGTCATCCTTCTTGACAATTCCCTTTGACAGTAAGTCAAGCATATCTGCACATTCATTGACTCCATGACCAGTTTTTCCGCATCCATAGCAAAGGAAGGGAACACGAGGTGCTGTAGGCAGAGTGGCAGTGGGTGGAGCAGTAGGCTGAGTGGGTAAGTTGCTGCTTCCTTGAGAGGATCGAGATGGTCTAGCTGACTGGTTCATGAAAGTGGGAGGGCGAAGTATAAGTCGAGCATCAGTGTCAAGCTTGATAGCACGATAGTAGAGCAGAGGATAGTTAGGATCTTCAATTGTCATAGAACCCAACTTCTTGATAAGGGTTTCTACTTCATCCTGTTTGACAGCAGTGTGCTCTTCTTCGTCTAAAGAGTGAAGGGTTTTCTTCGACTTGGAAGGACTCAACAACTTTCTCTCTTTCTCTGTCTCAGAGGTGCGCTTTTTGTCTTTCTTCTGCTTGGTGGTTTTCCTGATATAACGAGGTGGTTCTTCCTCTTTGTCAGAGTCAGAAGAATCGTCCGAAGAACTGGAAGAGTTTTCTGAATCCGAGTCTGAATCCGAATCATCAGAGTCAAAATCTTCATCATCAAAGCGATCTCTGCGAAGGACATGCTCTACAGCCTTGACAACATCATCAAAGACAAAAGGCTGGGAGAGATCAAGGGTAGGATCTCTCTGTAGAAGTCTATTTTCAACGCGATGACGAAGGGTTTTGGGTAGTCCTTTCCAGAAGAAGCGATTGAATACGTCCTGAGTGATTTTGGATTTGGCAAGAAGCCATCCTCCAACACGAACATACTTCCTCATGTAGCTCTTGAAATCGTCCAGAGAGCCCATTTTCTTCTTGTGCGAAGCATCGACCAGCTGTTTAAGATGATGCTCTTTAAATTTGGCCTCTGCTTTTGCAGCATCAAAGTACTGGAGAATTTCGTCTTTGAGACTGTTCCATGAGGGCGTAATGAAGTGCTTCATTCCTTCAATAATTTCGCAAACATATGTGGAGCAGTATTGGAGAATGCTTGAGCATTTTTCATCGTCAGCAGTGACATTGTTTGCATGACAGATGCGCTCATAGTGGAGAACAAAATCCCTGACACGAGTATAGTCTCCCTTGAACTTCTTAGGAGCATAACGAGTGCCAGGAATTGGCATAGTGATGACTGAGAGAGTAGTAGGTCGATTCATAGTGAAAAATATAAGGGGTAAACGCGAAGCTTGCTGAGTAGAAGCTGGTACAGAAATTGAGTAGATGATAAATTAGACAGTGATGGCGATGAAATGGTTGGTATTTAGCTTGAAGGAAACCACCCCTCGCGGTGGGCTCCAATTGTCGATGATGAGAACTGTTGTTAGAAAACCACACACAAAAACAAACTAACACACAATCCTCCCAGATTCCACGGAACTTGTTTATGGGCTTTGCCTCCTAGAACAGTGGGTGCTCTGGTTGTTCATGGGGTGGTATGTATGAGGATCCTTCAAAGTAAAACCCAAAGATGTATGGGTGTGGGTTTTGAGGAGGAGGGATAGTTGAATTTATAGAAGATAGGGGCTTAGTGATGAGTATAGATGAGCACTACCTTGCTAATTGTAGCACAAGGTAGGTTTGAGATCGACGAGGATGGCGAGGTGACGAGGTTCCCAGTGATAGCAGGCTCCTGACGCACAAACTGTAGTGCTCAGAATGACTCTAATCGAAGGGGATGACAATCACTTTCAAAAGTGACGAGTGACGATGACAGCAGTTAACAGTGGTAGAAGTGGGAAGTGTTGTGACCACACTGGATCACAAGTAGCAGAGTAGTGAACTTGAGAGTAGAAAAGAAGTCTGGATTGGATTACTTGTTTTTTTTACAAGGTAAAATACAGGGGTTTATATAGTAAAAGAGAAGTAGGCTATGCACAGTATAGCTGTGCAAAAAGAATGAGAAAGAATATGAAGGAAGGAATGTACGCTGACGAATCCTGCGTAGGTAGTACAGGATAAGATTGTCAAAAAAAGAAAAGAAAGGGATAGAACAATAAATGCTGTGAGTAATGTCACAGGTTTGTACAGCCATAAAGTAAAGTCCAATAGCAAAAAGAGAGCAGGAAAATCATGATGTCATGGGAAGATGCAGTAAAAAAAGGGCAAAGCAAAACACTATCAGTATCAACACAGTTCCTTTATTGTCAGTCAGGCATTCTAAAAAAATATGTGTCCATAAAAATGATTCAAAAATCAAAAATAATCGCACTGTAAATGAATGTTCTGCTGAAAAAAAAGAAACTGGAGCCACCGGTCCACCACCTAGTCCAAATCTGACAGTTCCATGGCCTTACCAATGGACTGGTTGTGTTGGACCACCTGATCAAACGAGGGAGGGAGAGGAGTAGTTCCAATTTGGAACAAGTGAGTCCCAGGCAGCGTGCGTGTGGTAGGTGTAGCTGTAGCGAAGACGATGGACAAATGATAAGTGTACCCAAGTGAATGGGACAGCGATGAACATGGGCGACGCAAGGGGATGAACCTTCTCCAGCTCAAAAATTACCCACCCACGCTCCAACCAGGCAAGACGAGCGACCGATGTTTTGATAGTATATGATGGCAGATCGACGTCATGAAGATGGACCTGTTGCCCTATTTGGACCGGCCGCCGGGGCTTTGCTGATATCAGCAGTGGCACGTGGTAGTCAACGGATCGGCGACGGAAGTGGATAGGAAGTGGTGACATTAGAAATGGTGGGGGAGCAAAGAAGATGAGGAGGAGGAGGGTGGAGGTGACGAGGAGGTGAACTAAAATGGGGACCCAGAAACGACCGTCAGGTGAGAATAAAAATGAGAGGAAGGGGCCCATGGTGGGGCTAGGCAAAGGAAGGGGAGTAAGGGAAACGACAAAAGTGAGGGCGCAATGCAATGTGTAGCCAGTGGCAACGCGAAAATTTGCCGAAATGCCGAAATGCGGAAAGTACCGGATGGAAAAGCAAAGGTGAGCGTGACTGGATTGCCTAATAGAGGTGGTGCTGATCAGCCACAAGTTCAAAAGGGGCAATATTAATTACTATTCCACGTGGCACTGTGCCTGTGTGGCGCAAAGGCGAGTCTTTTTGAATATTCGCTTCGTTATTGACACCTGTCCATGCTACCAATCAACTTTGGTGCATGACAACGCTTCTTACCATCCTTTTTAGGAATGAAGAACACCGGGGACGTCATAGGGCTTTTGGAAGGTCTGATGTAACCCTTCCTAAGCTGTTTGTCTATGAAACTTGATACTTCATCTCTTTCTGGAGCAGAGAGTGGTATCATGTGTCCTTTTCTCGGTTTAAAGGTGTCCTTCAAATCTATAGCATGGTCCAAAGGCTTAGCCTCTGGGAAGCGCTCCAATTTATGTTTTGAAAACACTTTCCAGAAGTCATGGTACTCGGGAGGTACCAGCCTCTCAATCTCTTCTTCGGGTTTTACCTCATCATCGTCATCGTCGATCTTTTCTAAAGATCTGAGCTCAAATGTGACCCGCGTTTATTTTCTCAAGATGCTCATTGTAACGGACATGATTTGGTTTACCCAAGTTTACACACTCCTGAGGGCAACATGATAATGTGACAACCCCTGTCTGCCAGTCGATCTCAGGATTGTGTTTAAATAGCCAGGTCCAGCCTAAGATTAAATTAATCTTCCCTAGTTGGGTAGCTTCAGCGGTGACTCGTTCTCTGTGTCCTTGGTATTCGACCACAAAAGAACATTTGTGCGTGATACAGCCACCCGCGTTTAGCGTACTGTCAACGTTATAGACGGGAATAGATACATCTAATTTTACAAGGGGGAGTCCAATTTGCTCCACCCAGGCCTGATCTATGAAGATTCCGTTAGCGCCTGAATCAAGCAGTGCACTGGTTGGGTGTATTATGCCCCGGGCAAGGTTTTCCACACCAACGTCTAAACGGATTTCTTTTTGGAATAAATATGTGCACATCAACACACGCCTTGGGATTTTGGGAAAGGGTGGCTCCGATGAAGAAGAAGAGGTATTGAAAGTTACATGTTTTTCTATTTTATTTTTACCAGAATCAAGCACCCTATTGTTTGTCTCGCCGGGGCCACACTCCAAGGGAGACGCTGGTGCAGCGGTAGTATTATAAATATTACAGTTGTATTGCTTCATACAAGTACATACTTCGGATAACAAATTTAAAAATCTATTTACAAATTGGGGAGCCATCCCCGTCTTTCCTTTATTGCTCGTGCAACACCCCGGAGCAGGGGCCACTTTGTTGTGGTTTACTTCATTGTTTGTAGGAGCAAAGGCACCCAAGTGACCTAAGCTCCGAACTCTTTTCCCTGGGTCTTCATCTCAGCGACCTGCTGATCATAGAAGAAGGCCCGGATTTCGTCGTACGAACAACCGGCCAAAGAGTTGAGCCAATTGTCCGGCTTTTTGGACTCTAATTGGCGCGCCTGGCGCCCTTGGTTATTTTTTTGTTGAGCAGCCTGCACTCCTTTTCTGCAGTCTTGGGACATGTGTCCCTCTTGGCTGCAATTGTAGCAGTTCCCCTGGAATCTGCGCATCTGTCCTCCTTGGACCGCGCCAATATCCATTGGGGCCCTGCCCTGGTTGCAGCCCGAACGGCTTGAACCCGTGAGAATGTTTATATTGGTTTGATGACCCGGGGCGCCTCTGGGATTCGTTGTTTTTGGTGGTGGACCCGCCACCTTGGTGCATTTGGTAAAGCTCCATGGCTCTACCGACTCATTGTACCTCCTCAGCCGCCAGGGCCAAGTTCTCGTTTCTAGTATCCTGCAGGTAGATCTGTTCTGCAATGCGAGGGTTCACATTGTGTTCCAGCAGTTCTACTGCATGTTCATTGCCAAGCCCTCCTTGGATGGAGAGGGCCAGGAACCAGGTAATGTAATCATCCGTCCTCATGTTTCCTTGTTTGAAGGAACGGATTTGCTGGCGCGCCAGTCACGCTCAGCTTGCAGTTTGAAGTACTTTTCAATCTCCTTCTTGAGATCTTCCCAGGTTGGCCACACTCCCGTGGTGTAGCATTCCTACAGTCTAACTTGGGCGTATTGACCCGCCACAGGTCCTTTTAGTCGAGATAGCACCACAGTGGCTACCTCAAAATCGTCGGCAAATGCGTCCCAGTTTGCCTTGACCCAAATTTGGAGCTTGATCCACCACTCGGCGAATCGCGCTCTGTCTCCTTCAAAGGCGCCAGGGTCAGCGACTACTCCAACTTTCTTGTTGAATTTCTTTTCGACCAAGGGGGTTGCCACAGGAGGGTTATTCTGCAGCTCGGCGAGTTGCGAGGTCAATGTTGCAATCTGCGTACGCATAGCGTGCAGCAGAGTTGTTGCGACGACATGTCGACTTGTTCTCTTTGTAAAGTAATAAAAACGTAACTGGGGGTCCCCGCTTGCTATCTGCGGATCTACCTCTTCCCAGCTGAGTATCGGATCTCAATCTCGGACTACCCACACTATAGTATTTGAAAAGTATATAAAAAGTATTCGTAAGAAACCCTGGTCCGAACGGTTGTCAGGGGGTGGTCCGCTTGTTAAGCTGTCAACCCTTCTCCAAATGGCGGAGGCAAGTGCCCGGCCTGGTCAGAGGAAAGAGAAATTGAAGTTTTGTATTTTTAATTCTAATCAACAGCGGTTCCACACCGACTGCTGAGCTAAGTACTCCCCTTAACGCTGGGGGCCGCGTATCAACGGTTTTGGTTCTTCTCCCAAAGCACTACAAGGCCATCGCAAAGAGCACACCTATCTGCTATGTGGGATATTCCCAACCAATAACCAATTCTCCTTCACCCTGGAGTCCGGGTGCCCAGTGGGACTTTTTGCACAAATGTGCGAGAGAGTAGAAAGAGCAAGTCCTAATGTAACAACCAAGAGTTAGTTACTCTGGTGCACACAGAACACACTATAAGGAAGATGATGAGGGAGTGGTTACCCCTTGAGCTGCAGAGAGTTTGTTGGTATACAACAGGAGGACTCGCTGAGGAGTCTCCTGGATCTATTGGGGTATATATACTACTACAGGTTTTGTTTGTACATGTGTACTATACAGTTGATAGAGACAGTGGCTGATGATGTCATGGGGCCTAGCCCACATGGTCAGCTCCACTGTGTGAGAGAGTTGTGTCTAAATAAGAAGAAAGGCAACGCGGCACGAGAAAGGGAAATGCCGCGTGGCACCATGTGTGAAAGCTAAAGTACAAGGTTAAGGCGGAGAATAAAAGTAAAGGGAAGGTCCGAAAATTGTGTTATTGTAACGCTTGCAGGCTCCCTTGGATGGGAAACACAATAAATCAACATAAAAATGGTTTTCCTTAATGGAGAACTACCTGACAATGAAATTTGCTATATGGAACAGCCATGTGGATTTGAAGAATGGCCTAGAGATGACTATGTGTGGCAGCTAAATAAAAGATTATATGGGATGAAACAAGCCGGTAGAGTTTGGAATAAGACAATAAATGATGCTATGTGAAACTGGGGATTCACTTGCTTACCCTCTGAGTACTGCATGTACTTTCAAAAATCCGCCACTGGAATCTGTATTGCCGCTGTGTATGTTGATGATTTCCTGGTTGTTGCCTCAAATTGTTCTGAACATGATTCATTCAAAACTGATCTCAAGACAAAATGGGACTTGGGAAAAGCTTGTTTTTGCATTGTCATCTCTATTGAACGTGAGAGATCTTCCTATTCCATATATATATCTTAAACTGCTTTAATTAACTGTTTTATTAGCCAATTCAACCTAAAAAATGCTTTCCTGTTTCTGTCCCCATAGATTCTGGCATACAACTGTCATGCTCCCTGCATGCTCCGCAAAATGAATAATAGCTAATGGCTGATACACTATACTGCTCACTTGTTGGCTCATTAATGTATATTGCACAAGGCTTGTGCCCGGATATTTGCTTTGCAACCCAACAACTCAGCCAATTCCTTGATTGCTATGGCCCCGCACACTGGGAAGCTGCCAAGTGTGTTGTATGCTACCTCAAAGGGATAAGGTCACTGTGTTTACAGTTTGGGGGTCTATCTAAATATTTGCCTCCTTGGATACACTGATGCATCTTTTGTGATGTGTCCAGACACCAGATGTTTTGTCTTCAGCTACTGCACTTCACTCGGTTCTGGGGTTGTGTCTTGGTGTTCCCTAAAACAAGCCACTGTTACCACTTCATCATGTGAGGCTGAGTACATTGCAGCCTCCAAATTGTCCAAAGAATTGGTCTGGCTTTGTTCTCTCCTACTTGGTCTCCATTATGAACAACCACCCAGCTCTCCTCTCCTCTGCAACAATAATGGAAGCATTGTCCCCTCCAGCGACTCATCTTTTCACTCTCGAACAAAGCACATAGTACTATTTCATCTGCAAACTTGTCTCCTCAAATTATATCACCTTACAATATATTAACACCAAAGACAACCTTGCTGATGCTTTCACAAAACCTCTCCCTACAAAGACATTTAACCATCTCCGTAAATTTATGGGTCTCCAACCTTAATTTACCTACTTTTTGTTTCTCTTCCTTTGCAACCAAAAGTGATTCATACCATAATACCCTTTGTTTGAGGGGGTCTGTTGATGTTCAAAGAAATGTATTCCAATCTGTATTTCATCAGGTCAGGTGACTGTACCACTGTAGTTCATATTTGTCTTTCGCTCTCTCCTTCTTTCCCTCAGTTGGTTCTTCTACAACTGAGGGTATGTATTTGTTTTCCCTCTTTCATTTCTAATGTACTATATACAGATCTTATATATAGGTGTTCACATAGTGAACTTGAGATTAGAGAAGAAGTCTGGATTGGATTTCTTGTTTTTTACAAGGTAGAATACAGGGGTTTATATAGTAAAAGAAAGATAGGCTATGCACAGTATAGCTGTGCAAAAAGAATGAGAAAGAACATGAAGGAAAGAATGTATGCTGATGAATCCTGTGTAGGTAGTACAGGATAATTCTAATGCCATCATCTTCAGAATGATGCTACCAAACATGGCCTAATCTCTCAGAATCATCTGTATCTAAATATGGTAGGGAACAAACATGGTCATCCAAGACAAATAGAGCAAAGTGCTACCACACTTAATTTGCTTTGTTGATGTAATGCACAGTGTGGGCAGGGTGTATATGAACACTTGTTCTACTTAAGATAGTGAGATGTGATATTGAGTTTCATTCCTTTTGTAGTTTATACAGTGCCCAATAGCAGAGGGTCTCCATGCTCCACTTACAATTTCCAGTTGATGATTTGTGCAGCCATTGGCCCATTGTGGATTTCCAACAAGTGCTGGCTTGACACTACTACTGCAGTGGACACATTTCTGGGCTATTATCCATTGCTCTCCGTAACCTGTTTAAAGTTCATCAGTTTCTGTCCTGTGCATATTGTAAACCAGAGAATGCCGGGTCCAGATCTGCCTCAGAGGGCAATAGTATTCAATAAGATAAGATCATTTGAATTGATGATTCGTGAATTGCACTACCTCCACAACCAAGGTGACGACGACGACGGCAACACCATCATATCACCACCACCACCACCATGATAATGACAATGACAGCACCTCAGCATCATCACCACCACAACCTCCACACCACAACCATGACAACACCGCCGACGACAGCATCACCACCCACCCACAACCATCATCTTTGTAGCATGACCACGACCACCAATGCCTCACCACGCACCACAGCAACACCGTGACCTCCCAAATGATGATGTTGACCCACAGAATCTGACAGTACTCTATTGGTAGACGCTTAAGCTGTGTCACGGTGCTAGTTGCCATTCACACACCGCGTGAGGTAAACTGCCCTTCGAACAGTTCGCATTAAAGAGTGTCCTTGTCCGAATCTGTTCTAGCTCTATCCCGAACCGCAAACGAATCGAGTAACAGATAAGATATCTGCAGGAGCATGGATAAAACGAGGACAACGGTCTCTGGTTGTACGATAGCCGGATAGTTCACGTTTGTGAGAGCCGTATTGTTTACTGGATTGGTAAATGGCGAGAGAACCCCGTCTGTTGACGATTGTGTAGAGACCGAAGAATGAACATTAATGAATTATGTCCTCGTACGGTCCCCGTCCACTAGATCAAACCAGCATATCGTGTTTACCATATATCTGTACTCAACGTCGGTATCAGAGGTATGGATATCTGTTCAGGCAAGGAACACAATGTGGACAAGGACCACGCGACGCCAGCGACAAATATTCGGTCCAGTGTGGTCTTGGCCCCGCTAACAGTCATGTATACTTCTGTGTAACCGTGATGCCGTTTTCATTACGCCAACCTGCGATGCGATAGACACACGTTTTCCCTAGTCATTTCTTGTCACTTTGGTTGTTGATTTCCACGTACCGAGGCTGGCTGGTGTCGACGTAAAAGAGTATGTAGAGAGCCTTGCAAGATGTCTTATTTTGCGGGGCGAGGAGATGTCGTATGTTTGTGGACCAATGGCTCCTCTTCGCATGGCTGGTTGCGATGGTGGACGGACCCCATTTGATAGTTTTCATGAAGTCCGAGATGAAATTGGTAATAAATGATAGAGAGCAGCGGTAACCTGCGCAGTCCGCACTAGGCAGCTGCATACCGAATATTTTGTACTTGCACTATCTCGCTTCCTCCTCTCTACTGTACTATAAAGCTTTCATACACGGGCGTCTCTTTCCCTTTCTTTCTTTCCATACCCATCCTTTCTCAGAATGTCCACAGTCAAAGTCACTAAAATTTGCTGCAGTCCGTATATCATATCTTTCCGTGCAATGTCAACAACTGATTTCTGATAATTTTACCGACAGTCGGTGCTGGCTACGTCGGTGCGTTTCGCTCACTTGCTCTCCCTCGCCCACATCAATACTAATGACCGCTATGGCTATGCTCAGGCGGACCTACTTGCGCTGTTATCGCACTCAGATGTCCTCACGTTCAAGTCACCATCGTCGACTTGAACAAGGCCCGTATCGACGCCTGGAATAGCCCAGATTTTAAGCTTCCTATCTATGAACCTGGTCTCGAGGATGTCGTCCGCAAGGCCCGCGATCGCAACCTTTTCTTCTCCACGGACGTCGATAAGGGTATCCAAGACGCAGACCTCATCTTCGTCAGTGTCAATACACCTACAAAGAAGAGTGGTGTTGGTGCTGGTTTTGCTGCTGATCTCAAGTGAGTACACGCCACCATTTTGCTGTCCTTTCACTTTCATTCTGAGTGGCGATATGATATCTGATAAACACCACAAAGCTACGTCGAACTAGCCACACGACGTATTGCCGCTGTCGCTACCTCCAATAAAATCGTGGTCGAAAAGTCCACTGTACCCTGCCGTACAGCCGAGTCCATGCGTACTATCCTCGAAGCTAACTCAAAGCCCAATTGCCGCTTTGACATCCTCTCCAACCCCGAATTCCTCGCAGAGGGTACTGCCATCAGCGATCTGTTCAAGCCAGATCGTGTTCTCATCGGTTCTCTCCAGACTCTAGAGGGTAAAGCCGCGTGCAGTGCACTCGCAGAGGTCTACGCAAACTGGGTTCCGTGAGTCCTTGTTCCGTGAGTCTTGTTCATAACCTAATAGTTCAATGTGGTTGGCAGCGCCGACCGCATCCTCACCGTTGGCCTATGGTCATCCGAACTTTCCAAACTTGCAGCAAACGCCATGCTCGCTCAGCGCATCTCCTCCATCAACGCCCTTTCAGCTATCTGCGAGGCCACAGGCGCGAACATCGACGAAGTCGCACACGCCGTCGGTTTCGACTCTCGTGTTGGGCCCAAGTTTCTCCGCGCATCAGTTGGCTTCGGTGGATCGTGTTTCCAGAAAGATATCCTCAACCTCGTCTACCTCTCAGAAAGTCTTCACCTCCCTGAGGTCGCAGAGTACTGGAAGCAAGTCGTGGTCATGAACGAGTACCAAAAGAGACGATTCTCGAAGACGGTCGTGGACACGCTTTTCAACACCATCACGGGGAAGGTATATATACTTTCCGTTTTCTTGGTCCTTTTTTTTTATTTTTATTTTTACATGTTGGAGTACCCCAGACTGATCGATGTGAATCTGCTTTTTTTGTGCGTTTCCCATATAGCGCATCGCGGTCCTTGGGTTCGCGTTCAAGGCGGATACTGGCGATACCCGCGAATCTCCCGCTATTACTCTTATCCGAGACTTCCAATCAGAGAAGGCTCTCATCAACGTCTACGATCCCCAAGTCGAGCACGAACAAATCTGGGCCGACCTTACCGAGGCTAGCCCCTCCACCCCTCTCGCTTCCAGTACGTGCCCTTCTCCCACACACACGTGTTAAACGCGTTACTCACGAACCTGTCTTGATCAAACTTCTTTTTGCTGTTGCTATTGCCTCCTAATACTTAAACAGTCCAAAAACAAGTGTCGATTTGCTCTTCGGCTCTCGAGGCATGTAAGAATGCCGAGGCCGTCGTGATCGCGACTGAATGGAAAGAATTCCGTGATATCGACTGGGAGCAGGTTTACAAGGGAATGAACAAGCCTGCATTCGTCTTCGATGGTCGGCTGCTTGTTGATGCCGATAAGCTTCGTAAAATTGGTTTCAAGGCGCGTTACGCTTTTTCTACTAAGTATCCCTCCTATCCAACTAACTAGGATATGATCACTACACTTACAGGTCAACACTATCGGTCGTGGAGAGAGAATGTAAACGGCGAATAAAATCTTACTTGCTATGGGTGTTAGAAGATCCAAACACGATATAATGCTATGGAACGGACACTGTCTTAATCGCTGGGCATACTAATCTGATATCTTGTCTTGCTGTTGTAGATAATCCCGTATATGATGCTATTCATCGACTTTTACTTACGCAGAAATAGAATGCATCACAACGTACGAACAGGATGCTGTATAATGACATTTCCTTTTTTTTGCCCTGGGGGTCATGCTCTTTACACGAGAACGTGTCTTGTATTCGGTAACTAACAGACAACTATCAAAATAAAAAGAGTGGCAGAACAGTAAACATAAGAGAGCAGTGGGTCGCGGGAACTATTTGATCTCACCCATTTGACGATTCAACTACATCTATACGATCGTAAACACCATATGAGAGACATGTAGACAAAAGAGAAGTTCAGCGTAAAAAAGGAACAAACAGACAATGTTTGAGGAAATACGAGGGATTGAAAGGCTACAAGACAGGAATATAGAAAATGAACACTTCGAAGGCAAGGAAGGCATAAAAAGAGAGAGAACTTCATTCAAAGACATAAATGATGACAGTAGTATCCCACCGAACTTCCACAGACGAACATATCATTCTATGCGGTAGGCGTCCCATCGTTCGAAGTACCTGGGTCGGTAGCAAGACTCTGTCAAGCGTGTACGGCCTAGTGACAATGATGAAAACTCCAGCGTCAACTGGATCAGAGTCACGGAACCAAATAACAGGCGGACATTTGATCTTGAAATCGGGAGAAAATGTAGCTACAAAGCAACGATAATATTCCTCGAAATCACCCATGATTTGCCCAGTTTTGCGAAATAGGGTGCAGACCGTGGCTGTGCCCTATCGAGTACGGGAGGCTGTGGTTTTGATAATGATAATCATATGCACCAGCATGCAAATTAGTAGATCCCGCTCGACCAGTTGAGATGATGGCGGGATCAGTGAAGGTCGGCGGTAAGTCGCGAGGCCGCTGGCTGACATGCTGGGCTAGTCCTGGCGACAGACTAGAAGACCCTTGATGCAATGTATGGTTCGCCTGATGACGGGGGGCCGAGGCGGTCGCAGAATAGGACCTAAGATGACCAGGGCTGACAGACATATATGACTGCCCGGCCAGCGAGTTAGATTGAACGCCAGGCAGGAGAATTTGAGAATTCGGAGTAGATTCGAATAATGAAGCCCACCCCTGCCGAGACGTCTGCGAAGTCGACTGGGATGGCGTATGACGCGCAAAACTGTGAGACCCAACTGCACCAAATCCTGACGAGCTCTCGGGCGTCATTGTCCAGATCGAGCTGCCCAATATTCGTGACTGGGGAACAGTAGAGATAGGCGGTCTGTGGTGCTGTGAACGACTGGTCTCGATGTTGCCCCTGGTGTTACCCATTACATTGTTGAGGAGATCCTGAGCTGTCGTGCCTTGAAATGCAGCTACAGGGGACACAGCTGGAGGAATCGTCGGTAACATAGCGATAGTAGGAGAAATCAGGTTGCCAGTTGGCCTCACGGGCGTCCTCGGACTCATGAGGGGAGGCGAGGTGGGATGTTCCACGAAGTCACCAGCGGACGCTCTTTGAGAATGGCTTCAGCAACAGACAAATCATGGGATATTTCATGACTACTTACCCTACATCCCAAATAATCTTATCTTCATCTTCGAGGTCGTCAGCAATACCTGCATCAGACCCATTGAGTACTTTGCGGAAGGCCTCATCGATTGGATCGTCATCAGTACGAGTGACTTCTGTCATAGCATCCTCATCTTGCTCAATATGCTGGTGATCGCTACCAATGACCTTCAGAGGAAATAAGTTGCTTTCTAGAACAGGCAACTTATGCATTTCATGCCGCTCTGTTGGTAAGGCTAAGGCAGTTCTAGTATCGGCACCCTTCTGGTGACTCCCGACGTACTTGAATAACCCCTCTCGCAGAGATATAGGGGACGCCTTTAGCTTTATCGTCAGATCCCATTACGAACTGCTATGTCAGTTTACTCACCTCAAACGCTACTACCACTTTCGCGTCCTGTAACAGATCCCAAATCCTCATGAGCTGCTCTTCATTGGGATGAACCTGCTTTTCTCGTCCTTGTGGCGCGATACCATTAACAACCAATTTGTCCTTCTGACCTCCACCATCCACAATTTTTGTTTCACCCATAAGCCTTCGCAAAGGTAAGAAACCCTTCATGTCGATATCTTCCTCCAAAGGTGTGGACAGCGAAGGCAACTTGTCAGGTGGAAACGAGCGAAGTAAGACATTATAAAACCGTGCATAAGCCGTCCAGAATGTTGGGACGTCAGAAATGGATAAGGCCGAACTAGAGGTCCTGGAATTGTTCACACGAAGATCTCCCTTTACGTTGGCCGGGGATTGTGCTTGTATCACATATTTAAGGTTCGCGGTCAACCATTTACTCGCTATACGCAACGCAGGAAGTGTACGTCGAAACACTGCTGTGATCCTTTGGGCCAAATCATTCTCTGCAGCATCTTCTGGCGGAGCTACCGCAAGTTGTGCAATTCCGATCTCGAGAAGAACCCGGTACAAAGCTAAGATATGAGTCGCTATGTCAGACTCCACAGCAATTGGTGGGTCTGTTGAAATGGTAGAGCCTTTGCCGGACGCTGGAGAATCCCGAATCATGCGATGTTTCCAGAGCGCGCCTTGAGATAAAACAATAACTTTGGAGATGAGTTCGGTGGGAAGTACGCGGTCGGACACAATCCCAGCGAAATCCGTCACGACGGTTTGCGCAAAATCGGGGGGTATGGAACCCACCCTACAAAAATAGATAAATGAAGAGAAAATATATGACTTAGAAAGACCTACCTATCAGCGCCAAAACGCCACAATGCGTGCAAGACAAGTATCTTTTCTTTGAGATTATCCACTCGTATCCGGGGTTGCGTATTGTCTTCATCATTTGCCAATTGGTGTTCCTTCCACTGCTCCAGTGATTTATTCAACATGGATACCATGTTTTCCGATGCAGTATCGTAAGGCTGTCGAACGCAAAGTGCTTTGTAGTAATGGATGAGAGACCCAAACATATCTTTCTGGTAGAAAGCCAATATTGCTAGTTGATGCGAAGCATTGCCTTCATGAGGCACCAAGAGGCGAGCCTGTTCATAACATTGCTGAGATCTGTCGTAAGTCCTGGCTCGAGGAATGGACTCGAAGCCTGGTACGCCACCCCTTCTAGTCCGACCCCTCCTAGCTGGTGCAGGACCATCCTCATGGCCGGCTTTAGGGCGTCCTCCACCCTCGTTGTAAAGTTCACGATAGCGAGCAATGTCACCAAGACAAACAAGGGTCTTACTCAAGATTGAAAGCCTGTTTTCCCTCTCAATAGAGTCGGGCGGTGGTACTGGTGGGGTGCTTTCTTCAGAAGGAAAAAGGGAATTATGCCGCCCATTGCGAGTGTTGTGCGCCACATCCCTTTCAGGTGAGTCGGATGGATTAGCGCTGGCGACGTCGACAAGATCCGATTGAATTCCAAGAGCGGCGAGGGCTGGTGAAGCTTCATCGAGGGCAAAAGAACGACAGTATCTCGATACAAGTTGAATCCAGAATTTTTCTTCTTCAGCGAGAAACTGACGAAAACGTTGCATGAGCTTCCGATACTCGACTGGGCCATGGTTGCCCTGGCGTGGTTGTTGACGAGGTGCAGATTGCAAATCGCGATCGAGCTTAGCTACGCGCTGTTTATACACAGTGATAAACTGGTAGGACGTCTGCATCCAAAGATGGTTTTCGACGTCTTTAGATTCCCGGGTGTGGGGGAACACGAGGAGCAAGAGGAGATATTTCCGGCGGAGTCTGGTATGCGTTATTAGAACTACAAGGGGCCATCATAAGAAGATCAAGCCTACTCCTTGCGCTGGTGTTCAATATCTCTTTCCCATGGATCCCGTGTTCTCAGAGCATCTTTAAGGTCTTGCTGTAAAGCTTTGCTAGCCTCTCTGCAGCACGAGTTAGAGGAAAAGGCGAGGCAAGAAGGGGTAAAAGACTGACTTTGCCTTGTGAGCAGCAGGTTCTGACATGATTGCTGATATCTGGTAAGCAAGAGACTATATGACCATTGTTTCTTGCTTTCGTGAATGTGGACGTCTGTTGCAGCGCCAAAAATGACGGTTGGGAGTGGAGGTTGTGCTATGGATGCCGTGGGAACGTCACGGCTGTCCACGGTCACCTTAACGCTGGACTGCAGTTACAGTCACTATAAAGCTGGATATACCCTGGCCAGCATGCAAGGATGTCTCTTGGCCTTGCTCGCTGCCATCCCCGTCCTCTATCTGGCTTTCGTCCTTCTCGGCAAGCATTCTGAACGGGCGCTTTTCTGCATCATTCATCAAGCCAGCTTGGGCTTAGTCTTTCTAAACATGAACCTGCCTCGTTCTCAGCGCGTCTTTTGGCCGCTCTTGAGGCTTGAGGGATTTGGGACTGCTATCTTACCGCCATATCGGCTATCTGGCTGCGGCGAGCTTTATCTTACACAGTTTCAGAGTTCTGTCTTTCCCCCGCTTCGTCGCGGCACTCGAGGACGGACCGGTTCGTGCCATAAAGTGTTAGTCAGGTCTCAGATCCGCTGTTGCATCAAGTAGCTCGTAATTATGATAAATCCAGTCACCGGTCAGTAGAACTTGCGGATTTTCCGTCGACCTATATGACTCCCTTCGTTTATGCTGCTTCGCGCTTATTCAATGCAGGGAAAGAACTCGAGGTCGCCGGGAACTCGTACGTAGCATGTTGACACGCATATTCCCGTTCCTCACCCTCGGCGTCTCCTACGGCGGAACGTCCTTCACACATTCACACAAAACAGGTGGCCTGATCTTCTTGCGGCGATGATTGCTCCGACTCGCAAGGTGTTCTAAACCAGTATCGATTGCTTATTGCTTATCACAGTTAGTCCCATATTCCACATCCGTTTTAACTTGGTCTCGACGCAGGTCTACTCCTCTCGCCTGATATCCAATATCCAATTCACGACTGTTGGCTGACGCTACTTCGTTACCTTTGGTAAAGACATTTTCCCCCTGCCCCATCACTTTTAACCTCTTGTTCTCGTGCTTTTGTCCCCTGAAATCAGCAATTAGAACAATTCAGGATAGATTGCTCTGCCAACTTTGGAATGTCGGCTCTTGTCGCGATCGCATGCTACATGGCGCCTAGGGCATTGTCCAATCCTCAGACATTCTGTAGTCTTATTCTTTCCCTGAAGGGGATTGGCAGCGTGTCACAAACCGAATGGTAGTATGAACATGTCAAGTTCTTCTTCCGGATAGACACCATCATGCTTCTGCAAACCATATGCCGCGCAGGACCGTTGAAAAAGGCGCAGGACACGTATACCACACAACGAGATCCCCGTCTATTGCACCCACCAAAATTTCGCTCCAAGCACGACCTTGTCCTCTTCATACTTTTCGCATCCTCTACAATGCCACCGTTCTACGAAATTGCCGTGGCTCTATTTGGCCAACCAGTCTCTCCAGTAAAGCAGTGGGCAATCATCGTGATTTTCACACCCTCACTGGGTCACGCAATGGTCTATCAAATAACTGGCTCTGCGAGTGACTATTCCCTCAAAGCACCAGAGTCAGTAACACTCAAGGCAGGGGAAGGCGGTTACTTAGGCAAAGTGCCCGTGGGCCGCGTCGATCAAGAAAGACTCCACCAATTCAGTGCTACTCTTGCGAACGTGAATATAGTTCAGAATGATGCAGCGTGGGACTGTCAGAACTGGGTCATGGAGGGGCTTGTGGCATTGCGGAAGGATGGTCATCATATAGAGAACGTGTCGCGCAGCTGGCTAGTGGAAAGATTGGGGAGTTCATGATGAGAGTGAGGCGGGATCGTACGGGACTCCTTTGGAGTGTGGAAAATTATCGTAACACGTCAAAACGTCAAACTGCGCCGCATCATCGTAGTAAAGCCGATGGCTGGATTATACACTGGAATGCGCTGCAGGGTTGTTGGAGGGATATTTATAGAACCTGTATTTTTTTCTCGAAACATAGAGCGGATGTAGAATGATAGGATACAGACATCGTGCACAATGTTCTGCAGACTGCGAGTCTGGTCAGCATACGATAGATGGTATTGGATATTGAGTAGCCGTCGCAATGCCTTGCGGCATAATTAAACAGAGTACGACCTATGTGAAGGAGACTTGTCATTGGTATTATCACACATCCACAACCCTGTATTTGCCATGATTGTAACTCACCTGGAGAACGACTTCTTAGACATCGGCATGCTTGGCAGCTCTGACGTGATGTTCATGCCGTGTAAGTATATCACAGAAATGGATACAGCGAGGACCCGGAAAGACTAACCAAGAGACCATCCCGTTTCGAAAAAGGAGTATAGCGTTGCCAAGACGTACATGCCGTCCTTCATATTGAAGTAATAGCCACAAAAGCAGAACGATGAAAGAATTTACCAGGTAAAGTCAGATGATGATCATAGTTAGTATGTGTGAACTGTGGTTTAACCGTCCGCTCAGATATAAGAAGTTAGGTCTGCTTTTGTCTAAGTCCGATCGTTGACGTCCCAAGCCAGAAAAAACTGTCGGTTGCACCGCATGGCTTATTTCTCAGCGATGCATAACTGGAGGGCGAATTTGGAATTAGTCAGCTCCTTGAGACTATGAACGTATATAAATGCTAGAATACCTGCTCCGCTTACTTCAATCACACTGTCTTCTTACACAATTAATCAATTCGGGACATCAAACAGGCTAAATATCTGACCAATGTGTGATCTTCATTATTGGTTGGCAACCTCCCAAGGTTTCTTCCTCACCGGTGCAGTGGATTCGCTAGGAGGTGCTTCCTGATAATAAAGAAGAAAATATTGTAGCAATGTGGTACTTGTTTATTCTGAAGATGACTTACGTTTAAGGATTCAGGGATGACCCTATTATTTGGGATATTCTCGGTCTTGCCTTCCTCAATCAAGGCTTTCAACTCAGCAAAGCTCAAAGTACGTGATTCATTTCGCTGCGTGTCTGGATATGGGCAAGAGGAATTGAGAGGAGCCGAGGTAGGGTTCATATGAGCAATGTTCAGATTTTGTTCGTAGGCTGCGACGTTCTCGGGAGTTAGTTGTTGTGATGCGATCCTTTATCATCATGAGTGTAACGATATTCCTTTCATCAAATGATAAGCTGGGCATATGTGACGTACCGATTAAAATAGAATATCCGAGTTCGTCGTAATATCTCCTGTTTTTGTTCTTCAGATTTCCCATCCATGGCGTTGTTGTCGATTATACCCGCGAGACCTTCCTTGCCACGAGTGATCCCGATAAGTTGGCCAACCTCAAAGTTCAGGTATAAGTAATTATCACGGTACCTGGTACGCCTTATCTGTCGCGAAAGGATAATTAAGAAATTGTGAGACGGCGTCGTTTAGGCCGCTGATTGCATGGCTGGGAACCGTTGTTTTGTTGTCGCCCAACAGTTCATTTACGTTGGACATCTAGCGGAAATTGTTGTCGACTTGAAGATGCTGCCTGCAGTGCAGTCAAAAGAAATGAAACAGGCGCTGAGAGGTGTAGTGGTACGTAATATGTAATAAGTAACTTCGTGACTCCTTGTCACATTCCTAGTGACTGCCAACGGCTTACTCCAAGTTCGAAGTTGACTCAGGCTCGAGCTTATACAGAACTGTCAAACTCATTTTCTGCTACGAACATTATGGCTTCAGGACCTAGCAAAATTACCGTGGAAAGGAATCAAAGGATTTTAATGGAGCTGGTGTTGGTACCAGGAAATGGCGAGTACCGTGATGCAACAATCTGAAATACGTGTTCATCTCGTATAATCCGGACTAGATGTATGTGCGGATTGCAGAAGCCGTAACCCTCGATGGGCATCTCACAATCTTGGCATTTTTCTTTGGTGCGTACTTGTCTCAATGGAGGAGTTGTAAATTTTTACATCTGGCAACAGTGTTTCTTGTGCAAGTATCCACCGCAAGATGGGAACACATATAACGAAAGTGTGCGTTGCTCGGTTCTCCAATATCATCGAGTTAAGCTAATTTTGTAACACCTGCCAGCAAAAGTATCACGCTTGATTCGTGGACTAAAGAACAAGTTGAAGTTGGGTTTCCCTTCCAATCCCCTTTCAGGTACATTCAATAATATGACTCCGTTTGCTTTCACTTCAAGGTTATGAAGCAGAACGGCAATGTCAAATCCAACGCTCATTATAATCCCAACGAAGCACGCCACCCTCCTCCCACCAACATGATTGATACCGAAAGAGACAGCGAGCTAGAGAAGTACATCAGAAGTAACGTCAACCTGTCTTATGTTAACTTATAGCCGATATTAACATATATATCAATTTACAGACAAGTATGAGTTCAAACGGTTTATAGACCGATCAGCTCTTGCGTCTTCTCGACTTGATCCCTCGCGATCGGTGTCGGGAAATTTATCTTCCAGACCGAAATCGACACCTGTTCCTGATCCGGCTATAACTCACCGGAATATCTCCTCAGCTCCTGCACTACCTGCGAAGCCTGTAGAGGCAAAAAACGTTGCATATGGAAGCTTGACTTCTGCTAGCAATATCCAAGCGAAACCCTTCCAGGCGAATACCATGCAGCCGACTAGGTCCATATCGCAGCCTTTACCATCTCAGGCAAATGCACTGTCGTCTCAGGTTCCGCCCCCGCCCTCATCTCAATCGCAGGTCTGGAACGACCTCATATCGCTCCAGACTCCTGCTCAAACCTCTTCCTTACCGCTCCAATATCAAGCGCCAAGTGTGTCACACATTAGTATTCCTATCCCATCTCAACAACCCTCCTACTCTCTTGGTGCAACTTCCAGTCTCAACCCCTATTCGAATATTTCCATCGTCCCTGGAACTTCCATCACCCAAATGCCACATATGAGCAGCCCTATTGCGCTATCACCTAGTAATGTCGGTCCAGGAATAGGCTTTCAATCTGGACTGTCCACAGGCTCCGTCGTGCCTGTTCATGTGCCTGGCGCCAACAACCCATTCCAACAGCAGCCCCCTGGATTTTCTCACATGTCTGCGCACAGTAACCTGACCAACCCTTTCAATTCGTACCTGCCTTCTTCTGGAGGTCCTGTGATCGGTGGTACGGGAGCGGTGAATCCTAGCTTAGCGGTACAACCACCCTCACTACAGCCTTTCCATCAAGGGACGCAGTCACAACTACAAGTACATTCACATTCACATGTCCCAGTGTCTGTCCAACCGCAAATCCCTGGTAGCCAATTTTTTCAGCCGCAACAACAGCTTCAGCAAGCGCAGTACTCGGCTCAGCAACCATTTTCTGGATCGCCTTCACCTTATCCTGCTCAGCCAGACATGCAGCAACAGCAACAATATTCTCAGGGTAATCCATATGCTTTGTGGCATCAAGGACAACAGCAAGGCGGCCAGCCATGGGGAAATTTCTAATGTGCTGTAGCTGTCTCTTGATTAAATCCGCGCTTTACAATGTTTTTCTACTTCGGACTTATAGTTGTAGCTTTTTGCACTGGTCTAGTTTTAGTATGTGAGAGTGCCTGAAATTCTTTGTGTTCACAGAGTGCTCGCGTGGATATTTCATATGTTTACATAGGGAAATATGCAGGCGTGTTTGATATCATGATATGATCCAGTATGAGCAAGAGAGGTCTGCTTTAGCCTTAAGCTGACTTAGTCTCCCATTCTATGGCAGGCCGTGCACATCGCGAACTTGTAAGCAAAACCAAGACATTGGTAAGTAGAGTGCAGTAAGTAGTACAAGTAATCAGGAACAGACAACACTTAAAGTGGCCACAATCAATCCTGAAGTAGGAATTTGAAGAGTTTGAAAGCTTCATTCGTCATCGTCATCGTCATCGTCATCGCGACCTCCATGCCTAAACAATGCCATCAGGTCATCCATGCCGAGCTTCATGTTCTTGAGTTTATCACCGCTCAAAGCAGCAGTAGCGAGCGCACGTTTCTTCTCTTGGAGCTACCTCAAATTGTAAGGCAGAGTAATACAGTTTCCGGGTTTGGGACTGACCTCCAAGATTCTCGCTTCGACTGTTTTCTCAATGGTTAGTTTAAATATATTCACGTCGCGAGTCTGTCCGAAACGATGTGCACGATCGAAAGCCTGCTCCTAAGAACACAATGCGCGAACATTCAAGCCAGTCATTGCGCTTATACAAACATGACAAACATACTTCAAGAGCAGGATTCCACCACATGTCGACCAGAATTACATTGTTGCACGCTGTTAAATTTAGCCCTGGAGATACCAAATATAAGACCGGGCAAGTATCCAAGGCGTGTTTACATACCTGTACTTCCAGCTTTGAAAGATATCAGTATCAATCGCGTGTTATTACTATTCCGTATCTTTTCAAGGCTAGCCTCGCGCTTGTCTTTACTCATTGACCCGTCATCTAGATACAAAAGCGGATTAACTCCCCTTTAGAGTTCAATATCGGCCGACGGTACTCACAGCGGACATATTTGATGCCCTTAGCAGCCAGGAAAGGCTCTATTAAATCGAGCATACTGGTAAACTGTGAGAATATGATGGTTTTTTCTTCTCCGTTTGACCTGTCATCGATGCCTTGTAGCAAGCTAAGAAGTTTTCTTATTTTGGCGGAGTCAGGGGGAAGATCATTGGGGCCGGAGACAGCAGATTTGAGCTTGGCTTTGGCAGCTAACACAGCACACTCTTTGCAGTGTGTGTCTGAGGTCTCAGCAAGGTTAGAGGAATTAAGTCTGCACAACACACATCAGTCAAAGACAGAAATCCTGAAGAAATATTATATTTCTTACACGGTTTGACAAACTTCACATTTTTTCCCATTTGAAACACCCATCTGACCGAACATCGCAGTAAGGTCATCTGCGTCATCGTCATCTCCCTTGGCTGCTTTGGGCTCTGCAGCTTCCCGGTCCACTCGATAATCTTTAGATACTAGCGAAGGGTGGTTGCAAGCTAAAAAGATGCGTTGACGATAATTCATATCACATGCGACCGAGCTTACATACCCTGTCTGAGACGTAAAAGCATGAGCAATACATGCGTGTAACTTTTTGTGGCCATGTCTGCCTGAACCAGTTTATCTAGCTCTGTCGACATCTTATTTTCGAGGGCAGAATAAAATGCTTTTTCGTCTTTGTCAAATTCGCAGGCAACAATTTCCACCTTCCGCGCAGGGAGCTGCAAGATTGCCTTCCCGTTGAGGACATGGTCTTTCCTTCGCCGAAGCATGATGGCTTTGAGCACAACCTGAAAAACTATGCGTGCATGGCTAAAACGGGAAGACGCAGAAAGTCTTACCTGCAATCGCTTCATTGCTCGAGTAGCCCTTCCACTCTTGACTGGCTTATTGATCTGTTCATTGAATGTATGCCAGTCGTTAAGAGGTCGTATTCGCAAGAATTTGATAAGGGAGTAGAGTTCCTCTACACTATTTTGCCTATGATGGTGAATTAAGTATTCGCTTACCATTGAAATAGATAGCATGAACTCACATGGGCGTACCAGTGAGGCACCATCTAAACTTCCCTTCCAATGCACAACAGGCCAGGGCTGCCTTAGTATTTCTATTCTTGATATTGTGGGCCTCGTCTGTGGATGCTGAGATAAGATGATATTCTAGCACAAATACGACACTACTCGCCAAGTACAATCCTAAACCAGTTTATATGGAAAAGCGCATCTTTCGCTTTCGTCTTACTTGCTGGTTTTTTCTTGGTTAAAGTCTTACCAAACGGCTCTGACGAAGAATCTGTGTCATCATCATCCGAGTTGGACCCTGATGCGGCCTTTTTGGCTTTGGCCTTGGATTTTTTACTCGTTTCATCTTTCACATCGGGCTTGAACGCGCCGTACTCCGAAGCCAAAATTGAGTAAGAGGTTACTACAACGTGTGCTTGCTGAAGCCTCGTGGGGTCTGCATTGCACAAAGCGGTAAACGTAAGCCAAGAAAAAAAATTATCATAGAACTTGCCAGAAGTACGGCTAGCACCATGATGTTCTATGACTCGAAGTCCTATAGCCATCTTTTGGATCTCGGAAGCCCACTGGCTTACAAGACTGACAGGACAGACAACCCTTACAATTCACAATGCGTCAACATTGGCTATTACGTGAAAGCAAGTTAAACCCACAGTGTTGATGCGGCCCATCCATCTACTTTATCCGCCTTGCGTGCGCGACCGTCCACGATTCGTGCGAGAGTCTGGATTGTTTTTCCGAGACTAGAAAATCCAGTAGTTAGTGCTGCCGCACACAGGTAATGAGAATTGTCAACGTTACCCCATATCATCAGCCAATATACCCCCAAATTTTTTGCCTGTTTCCCGTTCTCGCATCCATGCTCGTCCGAGCACTTGGTGTGGCAACAGGGTGATACCATCCCGAAACCCTTCGACAGTTGCTTGCGACATATCAATCTCTATATCATCGTCATTGTTAACGGTGTCCCGAACAAGTGCTCTTAAAGCTGTTTCAGCTTCTGCGGCAGTGGTCTTCGGCTCATAAAGGTTGTGAGTGTCTGGCTCGTCGAATGTTTCCCATGCTGGATTCACGATCGGCGGTGGACGGGGACCATGCGCTGGTATTTGTATAGGTACTGCGGGACTGACTTTAGCGGGGGGCTTTGGAAAGGCCTGTTGGAGAGTGCCGGAAGTAAAGTTGTCTGAACGTGACATGAAGGGTGGAATAGAGGTATTGCTTTGTGAAACCTTACGCGGTGGACTTTTTTAAGATCAGTTTTATGAACGTCAGCAAGCAGAGCATATGCAGTTTACGTACGGCAAAGGATTTTCATCTTCGTCATCAGATGAAATGACAATAGGGCGTGCTGTACTGGCAGGAGCTACCATGACTGAAGGGGAAGAGGAAGATGCGATTGACTGAAGAGAAATGTAAATAGTGTTTCTTTTGATTGCACAGGGAGCTTACAATAACGCTGGGAGACGAGTCTCTACTACTACCATGTTGCTTACTGTCCCCGCTTCTACCAATCTTGAAGTATTCTGGGTATACGTTCGGGTCCTGAGCCAACTTCATCCGCCTACACTCAGTAAGGTTAGCTTGGATTATATTCAGAGAGATCTATGCCTCTCACAGCCTTTCCATCCTAGCGCTAACGGTTGTGTTTAACAGGTGTAGGTGGCAGAAAGGAAATATTGTCTGCTGAATGTTCGATTCAAACCTTTAAAGACACGCCACGCCAACGCGTTGTATTAAATAGTCACGTGCATCGACAGCTTCATGTCATGTGATTGCATCTTTTGAGCTCATGAATTGACACTACTAGCAACGTGATAGCTCTTTCTTGTGGTTGTAGGATAATGTTATCAAATCTATTTTGTGAGTCTTATTTATTGACAAAAGCAACTTAACTTATATTCAATAGTCGCTCTGGCAGATAACTTCTTGATCTACGCCGCGGCTTGATCACGTTCAACAGCATGAAATAGAATGTCACGGAAATTCATCATCTGCCCTTTTTCAACTGAGGCTTTTTGAGTTAGTAGTGTCTATTTTCAGCATTTCGGGGGCTACACACTCGTTAGAATATAAGGCCAAGTTTGAGAACATGGGTATGAGTTGACTGGCCCAAAGGACAGTGTTGTGTCGGCTAGCCTCCCGGGCCAAGATCCAGCAAGGGATACCAAAGGGTATAACTCAAATCGGCATGAATCCTTCTGGAAAAGGACGACAAGCAGGATTTTATTCTACTTTGGCGGCACGATCCCTCAAAACCATCACCACGTGAAAAGCATCTTGCGTCGTTGGAGCTGTTGGTCTGACCCAAAATTCCAACGTGCAAAGTTATATGCATCCCTCAACATGTTCCAGACGACATCCAGACGATATCCCAAAAAAAGCAACTATCAATCTTCAAATTCAGACTGAACCGTCATTTCGCATATATGAAGCTGTTCATAGCTAGTGCGCTATTTCCGCATACCTCTTCATCGTTCAGTAGGTAAGCTTCAAGCTCGAGAGTGATTCACCAATGGTGTACTTCAAGGTCACGTTTCCTCAGTATAGGTATATCTTGAAGAAGAAGGTGGATAGCCCTGCATATCTCCCCACTCTCGTACTGATATTTTATGGATACAGGTAATAGTTTCTACCGAAAACCTAGATGGGACGTCATGTAACGACAGCTACTCGGAAATGGACGCCACTAAGGCTGAATGGCCTTGTTGCGACAGCATCATAACGTCACCGACCATCTTCCGAACCACACACTCTTCGCGGCAGCAAGAGGCGTTACTTTTAGAAGACATAACCGATGCTTACCATTCAGCGGAAGTTCTCGATGTTAGGAGGAAAATCTCCATGTTCCCCTATCTCCGTAAATGGGCTTTTGACTACCGCAAGGTATGTCAGTAATAATTCTCAGGCGTGTCAGGATTAAACTCATGTTTACAGTCTCTTGATCGCCTTGGTCCTATCCGCGCACTTGATTCGTATTTTCATTCATTCGATTCTCAGACTGGTAATACTTCATCCCCGACTCTTTCCGATCGTACAATGAAGCTCAACGACTTGCAAATTATGGAAACTATTGGCGAGGGCGCCTTCGCTACCGTTTTTAAGGTCAAAGACCGTAAAACATCCAGGCTTCTTGCGCTCAAAGTAATAAGTAAGGAGGATCACCGAATGGCGCGACCAGATTACTTGCTGCGAGAGCAGGCGGCTCTGAGACGAGCGGCTGGTTGTTCTGGTCTGTTACAACTAGAGGCTAGTTTTCATGATAGCAAAAAGTATTATATGGCTGTTGTAGGTGATATTTTACGTGTTTACGGTTATTACTAACACAGACTGCTCATAGACATATCACTGCGGAGGTGATCTTTCTTTGGAGATACAAAAGTGGCGTCGTCTACCTACCAATATCGTCCGATTTTACACCGCCGAGCTTGTGAGTCAATCCAACGTTATAGTTTGGTTATTAATCCTTGAACTTCATATCATAGGTAGATGCCCTTCACGCTCTTCACAAGCGCGGTATAATTCATCGCGACATTAAACCTTCCAACATTCTCATTGACTCTTCCGGACATCTGGTCATTGCTGACTTCGGTTTAGCCAGACTTTATCATACTGCAACCTGTGATATCGTCAACCCTTATTGGTTCACAGCTTGTGCTGAAGCCCAAAAAATTCTCAAAGGTCCTTACTTGACCAAGAAAGGTTGCGGCACGCCTGAGTATATGGCCCCTGAGATATGGATGGGCAAAAAGTACAGTTTCGCAGTTGATTTTTGGGCCTTGGGCATCACTGTTCACGAAATGATCACAGGGCGTGTAAGTTTTATCCCTCCAACGTCTGCCCTCTAGGCTGAAATACCTCTAGATTCCATGGAACAGTCGTAATTGTGTTTCGAAAGTAGATAAGATAATGAAGTCCCCCTTACGTTTCAAGTCTCGGGATAAGATAGATGAAGATGCCAAGGATTTCTTACAGAAGGCGAGTTGCTAACTGATAGAGATATCGAAGTTTGTCAGCTTATCATCGATGCCTACAATAGATGCTTGTCAAGGAACCCTATAACCGACTATCTTACGAGGCAATAAAAAAACATAGCTTCTTTCAGGACATGTGAGTAGAATACCAAAACCTGTGAAACTATCTCACATCGTTCACTTGCGCTTGAGTAGAGATTGGGACAAAATTGAGTCCCACGCTGTGCCTGCGCCATATATATCATATACTGAGGAGTGCAAGTGCGCTACGGATGCCGACATAGAATGCGTCGAAGCTGGCGAACTTTACGGACCTCTCGATGATCCCCTTCCTGAATTCACTTACTTGTCTCCTCTCCTGGACCAGCCGCCCACCAAGGTCAGCTCCAAGTTCCACATTCGTCAGCTCATGAAAAAAGGCTTCATCAGTCGTGTTTCCAATGGAGAGGACCCTCCTTCCTTGAATGGCGTATCCTATGTCCCGCGATCATGTACTCTTATGTCTGACACGGAGGTCATGGACTACTGGTGGATGGACAGTGACCAAATGGCCTCGTCTCCGCTGATCTCAGAATCTCCTATATTTACCACGTCCCTGACTACATCCAGAGTCTCAAGATGTCAAAGCTCTGGGGCCGTTGTTTTAAAGTGCTTCGCTAGTCTAGCGAGCTTCACCTCGAACTTTGTCAAGTCAGGCTCTAGTTCCCCAACCATCCTGAATTCATCTTCAAGAACTGATGATACCGGACCTCGGAAAGGCAAGTTTAGGATGATACGGTGGTTCAAACGCACTTGGAATCCTATCCCTAAGGTGCAAAACCTATCTGGCACCAAGAGAAAGATCATTGATCTCACTGCCTGATGATAGAACTGCTTTGATGATCAATTTTGTCCTACGATATGTATAAGTAGACCCCAAAGATATTTTACCCTGCTATTGCTATCTTGCTTCCTGTCTTCCTTATGCTGTGTGACCAGCAACTAGACCATTTCCTTGAGATTTGGTGATCCTCCTTGACATACACAGCAAGACTAAGGATTTTGTAATCGTTGGCATGCTAGTGCACTCGCCTTGATGCGTGCACATACAATGACTCGCTGTCCCAAGCCGAGTGCAAACGGGGCGCTGGTCAACTGGCAAAAACATCCCCTTTGAATACGATCCCAAAGGGGATGTATTTGCCATCACTCTACAGCTCGTTATCATTGCTACCTTTGCGCAACTATCTGTTAGACAAGAACGTTGATCATGGTTGATGCAACGTCGTCACGGTTGTGCGGAGTTCAGTCACTTCAAAGAGCAAAATCCCACTTGTAAACTGGTGCTCTTCCACGAAACAGATTCATTGATAGACCGGATCCATTTGAGCAAAGTAAGTAACTTACTTTGTCTCCTTACTGACTTGGATTCATGGTGGGTCAAGTAGAAAGAAAAGAAACCAATTGCAGCTTGGGCCGTCGTGACTTGTCGTGACTCAGTCATATCGGGATATTCCGAGTCTGCGATTATCATATGAGTATTAATATTGTTGCTTGTCAATTGCGTGCATGTCTTTGCCATACATTTTGCCCATTACCACTGTCCAACCCAGCTTTCAGGAGGTTATATCTGATGTTAAGTCTGGTCAAGCACCTTTCGATACTTTCTGGGTATCCTGCTACAAGGAAACAGCCCCCTCGGTGCACGAGAAAATCAAGGTAACTTTGGATGATATAGATAGGGATGCAATCAATTTGGAACCAAAAGACGGATCTCTCAGTATTTCTCACCACGACGCCCAGGTTAGTCGTTGTAATCTCTTCTAAACTCGTGGTGTTGACGACGGTTGCATCCAGGATTTGTATACGATTCAATGTGTATCGCTCAACGTTCCACCTACCCCCCTATTTTGCCCAAGAAAGGAATATATGACTTTAGACAATAATCCAAAGCTTGTATGCCGTGAATGCATCTAAGCTCCAATTCTTTGAATTGACTTTCGGCATGCTCTTGCTAGCCCCAGCATATAACTGCCTTTGATGTATCTCCAGACGGAACTCAATTTGCTGTCGGCTTCCTTAGCGGTACTGTCCAGATCCATCCGACAACTTCTTCGTCAACGCAACCAGAAGTTTCAAGGATCACCGTCGCAAGACCTCATCACAGTTCACTAACTTCTCTCCGTTTCTTCCCATCATCTCGGGTGCTTCTTACTGCAGGAGCGGATTTCACGCTGACGATTTTACCAGCCGAACCTGTACCTACGTCATCTTCGCTTAACTCATCCGTTTCCAAAACTATCTCACCTGTTCGTACACTCAAAGGTCACACACAATCTATTGTATCTTCTGCAATCATCGCCCGCGGACGTAATGTCCTATCGTGTGCAAAAGATGGAACCATCCGCCTATGGGATGTGAGTACATCAACGCAGATTTCCGTGATGACGATCGGCGGAATGGGTAAATTTACCCCTGGGGCATCTATGAGTGTGGGGGATCAAGGTGAATGGAACTTCGCAAAGAACTCATTGAACGGGAGTGGCATTGGTCATCAAGGACACCATTTGGGGAGAACAGCAGAACAAAAGTTTGATGAGCGGGAAGTAGACACTGCTGGCAAGACCGTAGTTTGTGGTCTGCAAGATGGCTCGTTCGAGGTCTTTGACCTAGGGTCCAAACAGTCGGTGTATCACTCCTCATTACGACCAAATGCCCGGCGCTCTGCGTTGACAGCTATTAATTATGCGCCAATGCAATCGTTGCTAGTCACAGGTTCAAGTGACGGTGTCGTCACCGTATATGATACGCGCTCTTTGTCAGAGCCCTTGTTATCTTTCGCCCGAAACTCAGCGTCCATCGAAGACGTTATGTTTATGTCACCCAATGGGCCTCTTTCAAGCACACTCGGCGAATCCAACCTCAGTGGCGGGGTGGCCATTGCAACTGCAGACGGCCTTCCTTATATCGCTAGCATAAAGCCAGGAGAGCCCAGGGTGCTCGGGGAACTGGTGGGCAGTGACTGTGATGGTATTCGAGCTGTGCGGGAAAGTACTGATGGAGATTTATGGGCTGCTGGAGATGATGGCATCGTGAGGAAATATTAATTGTAGTTTGAATATCTCAAAACAAAGCAGTAATGGTTAACAACGTGTATAAGTAGCGTGTTTTACCTTCCTGGATTGCGAACTCTCCTGGCCATATTGTTCACTTGAGTTTTCATTCCACATACCGGATGAAGCACGAGCCAAGTATTTGCAGAATTCTAAGTAATAGCTGTTAAAAACCCAGATTAGAAGGTAGTTTACAAGCGAGAACGAGACTGAACGCACTGTATTTTGGTCCACCACCGCCTTCTGGCACAGTCCAGTTTATGTCCTCTGTTGGAACTTTAATATCACACAATTTACAGTGGATACAATTCTGTGAATTGCCCGTTAGTAAGCGTATAACAGTAGAAGGAAAAATCTGGCAAGTACCTGAGAGTTGATGATCAATTTTTTGCCATCCCATCCTTCCTCTGCACTCGCACCACCTTCATCGTCTACGTACTCGTATACCGCCGCCGGACAAGCCCTACCCAGTAAACCTGCATATTCCCCTACGTTCTCCTTGACATGCTTCTTTCTTAACTCTTTGGACTCGTCTCCACCTTTACACACACGCAAGTGTATCAGCTGATCTTCTGCGTGATTGGTTCCAGTTAGAGCCACTGAGGTGAGTAGATCAGTAGAGAGCGGAGGCTGAAAAGCTGGGTAGTCGATAGGCTTGTGGTGATAAGCACGTTCAGTATGCTGAGCATCATTCATTTTCGAGGTATTACGGAAGGTCCAGGGTGTGCGCCCCTTGAGGAAAAGAGAATCGACACCAGAGTATGCAATGCCACCCCATATGCCTAGTGGGGTGTTGAAACTTCCACGAAGGTTCCTCACTTCATGCAGGTCTGACCACACCCAACTGTTTCTCAGAGCTGTGTCATAACTGCTCATATCAACGCCCTCCGACTCAGACTGTGATGGTTCAGATGCAAGGACATCTGCTGCCGCTTCTGCAGCGAGCATCCCGCTCTTCATTGCGTTGTGTGTCCCTTTGATTTTGGCAACGTTCACAAACCCGGCGGAGCAACCGATTAGCGCTCCTCCAGGAAAGTTCAGTTTAGGGACAGATTGAATGCCGCCTTCGTTTAGAGCACGAGCTCCATATGCTATTCTCGTTGAAGAGCCGGAGAGGAGACGAGTAAAGTACGGGTGATGTTTCATCCGCTGTGATTGTTGGACAAAAGGTAGCACCAGTTAAACACTGTAGAAAATGAACAGCGAGACATAACCTACCTGTAACTCTCTATAGGGGCTCATATATGGATTGGTATAGTCCAAGCCAATGACGAGGCCCAAACTGACGAGACCATCGGCCATGTGATATACCCAACCGCCTCCATATGTTTTATAGTCCAGAGGCCATCCCATTGTATGGATAACTTCTCCAGGACGATATTGACTTGGGTCTACTTGCCATACCTCTTTTAGGCCGATACCATATGTTTGTGGATCGGCATCTTTCCTAAGGTCGAACTTATTGATCAGCTCCTTGGAAAGAGAGCCGTGAGCTCCTTCTGCCACTAAAGTCACCTTCGCCCGGAACTCCATGCCAGGCTCAAAAGAGTCCTTCAGTCTGCCTTGTCTATCGATTCCTACTTCGTTTGTCCGAACCCCCTGCACTGTCTTTCCATCATCTCCGTAAACCACTCCAGCACCCGCAAAGCCAGGGTAAACCTCAACGCCTAGCTCTTCGGCGATGCTGCCCAGCCAAGCAGTGAATCTGGAGAGAGATAAGATGTAGTTCCCGTGATTTGACATCTGTGGTGGATGGGGAATTGGAATGGCCAGCGAGTTTGTCAAAAAGCGCATCTTCGAAGACGTTGCAAGTTGCGTGAGAGGATGATCATCGCGAGATGACCAATCTGGAAGAAGTTCATTAAGAGCACGAGGCTCTATGACAGCTCCAGAGAGAATATGTGATCCTAAAGAGAAATTTTTAGCAGAAGCATCGGTAACATAAAAGTATGATACTTGCCTACTTCAGGTCCCTTTTCAAGGACCACCACTCTGAATTCCTTCCCTTTCTCTTTCTCCAGCTGCTTGAGACGGATAGCTGCACTCAAGCCAGCTGGACCTGCTCCCACGATGCATACATCCACTTCGTCAGAAGCACGTTCTACGGCTGCAGGGTCAAATAACTCTCGTCGCCTGCGACATGTCGTATGGAATGCTCGAAATACTTGGGCGGGCTGCACTCGACGTGCTTGGTTAGACAGCATTTGACTTGCTCTATTCACTGGCTAGACTCCCGAGCACGCAAGGGAAAGATGATGGTGGTTGTGACTAGAATGCAGATACTTGAAATTTCTAACTCTCAGTTGCTGAAGACACTCGGATATCCGAGTCCACGAGTATCAAATGGTATTGCCGGTCATGTGATCGCTGTGTAACCGTGTCACGTGTTATTTCCTGCTCACCCGCTCCGCCACTATAGATTCAGAAACCACTCCCTGATTCCTTTAATTATTCCCTTTCCACGCTGAATCAGCAATGTTTATACAGCATATCCTATTTTGCGCTTGCATTAGCAGCTCGATACCAGCTGACATGAAATAAGAATAATGGCCGCTGCCTTCCTTGGTAATTTCTGTAGGGCGAAGCGATGAAAAGCCAGCCAGAGCTTGAGACTTGTTTCGAGGAAAGTTAGAGAACCTTCAAAAGGCCATCGTACATCGAGTCCCTGGCATCCAACGATAGATGTTTGACCGTGCGCTCACAAGAGTTGGTAGAGCCTCAATCCAGACATCGCCGCAATAGACTCCATACCAAACCAATTGCCCTGGACCACCGTGCATGATAGATCACATCAGCGATCATCCATAGCTGCATTGACAAGAGTAGAGTCAGTAAACTCACTGACACCAGTTTGTATCAAGATGCCAGCCTAATAAATAAAAAGAGTAAAGTGATTAGAATAGATTCCGGGATGCATGGTGCACCTGTCGAAATGACCATCTCTGACTACCAAACAAGCCTGGTTTGAGGGATTGTCGAGAGTCGGCAAGAGTTGTAGATAACACCCTCCCACTCTTAGTGAAAGAAAAAGTAGTCGTCCCAAGAGTCTCGAGGGAAGTGAGGGTTAGTTGACAAGACGAGATTGTGTCGAAAAAGTAAGTGCTCACGAGAACGTACTGCCTTCTCAAGTACAGGCAAGCAGGTGTAAGTCCACAAGTAGTAACCTTGTCGCCGATGTATTGAGCAACAGAAGGACACCGACATGATCGTTTCCCCCCAGGTCTTCCACTTTTAAACAGTCGGTATCCTCTCCCATCAGGTAAATAGATAGACCCAGCAAATCTAAGGTCCCCCAGGAGTCTGGGGCCGTGATGCATGGTTTGGAACGGCCTAGTACACTGAACGAACATGTGGCTCAAGCAGGTTGTGTAGGCTGCTTGAATCCCCACGGAATTACGGACCGTGGTTACAGCCAAAATTTGGAAGAGCTTGTCAGGGGGATTCCAATGATGCATAAATAGCAAATGTACAGCAAAGTACGTTGAATACTATCGCTGCTAGAAATTGTGTCCAAGCATATGCAGGCGGCACGGCACCAAAATTAAGCGATAAGATCTCTAAGCGGCCAACTTGTACTGGGCATGCAGTACTCCATCAAAGGCAGCGAGAAGGCTCAAGCACTCAAGCGGGGAGTGGCAAGAGATGGGGTCAGAGAGTACACTTGTGTTAGCGAATATATCGTTGGAGCTGTTATATTGATACCATAAGCACTGTCAATACTCTGAGAAAGAATTAGCACAAGCTAGGAGCGACTCACAAATATCATGGTAGAGTCTTCATCGTGATGTTTTATTCCGTTTCCGTTGAAGTATTTTAATACCTCGCCCAAAAGTGAGTGGGGTCTCGTAAGAACTGAAGGATATCTCGCAAGTGATGCAATCTGTAGTCATGCTGCTAAGTCTTCGACTGACACTCACGAACTTCAGTCACTCACTGGTCTGCATTGTTGCCTCGAAAGATAAGTGATTGTATATATTGATGCACTACCGGCGTCAGTCATTATTGTCCCTGTATGCTTTATAGGTTCTGCTGCGGGAGGTTATTGAGCATCCCGCGACGTGCGGGTGTAGAGAACGTTAGGATGGGAAGTGACTGTCTGGTCTCTGTCTAATTAGCTGATAACTGTTGTTACTTGAAAACATGAGTGAAGCCTAAGCCTGCTTGATGTTCGTTGGGTTGGAGCGGAATTAAAACGGGAGATCCATTATTGATGATGTCTCGACTTGAAGCTCTGTAGTAGTGCTCTCTCCTTAGAGGCTCTGGGTACTATTGTGTCTTGCTTTGTGACACCTTACCTGTAGTAGGACCATGTCGAAAGACCTGTAGAGAAAATAGATAGCTAACTCTTACATTCGTGTATCTACTATGGCGAGTGCCAGCCACCAGTAAAGAAAGAAGTTCAGACGTGAGATTGTAGTGCAATAAGAACGGGGAATTTGAAATTTGCAAACGTTGCCTTGGGTCGCGTGAGCGATATGTGACGTTGTAACGTGCGTCCTGTCACGGATGCAAGACTCGTCACTCCCGCGCTCTGCGGTTTCTCCCTGCAGCGCCTGCAACAGTGGAGCCATAGGAATTTCTCAGTTTTTACCTCACTCTTGTCCAGTGGATAAGGCATATCCGAACAATACCAGACAAGACTTCAAACCAATATCGTTATTGATACCTACAATTTCTTTTCTGGACTTACGGGCTTGTAACCTTTGTATAGATATCGTTCATGACAGGTTTCTCTGCCATACCTATCGCTGAACGAGACTTGCCAGACGATGATTCTCAGTGGGCAGGAGAACCAAAGATATTAGGTCCGCGATGGGCTAACCTTCCTACGTTGACTGTGGGTCTTCTCGGAGTACAAGTATTTTGGTCTGTAGAGATGTCGTATGGTGAGTGGTATTGCAATTGCTCTATTGCTATTCTTCAACTGTGGACTGACTTGCTATAGCTTCACCATACCTCCTTTCTCTCGGCCTCACCAAGTCCTGGATGGCAATTGTTTTCCTGGCTGGACCACTCTCAGGCTTAATCATGCAGCCACTCATAGGTTACTACTTATCGCTGAAGTAGTGACATACCTCTAAACAATGACTATTGATTAGGTGTGCTGGCTGACAACTCAAAATCGCGATTCGGCAGGCGGCGGCCTTTCCTGCTAGTTGGATCTGTTTTGTGCTCACTTGCAATGCTACTTCTAGGATATACTCGTCCTATCGCCACCCTCTTCACCAACTCAAATACATCTGCGGTATGCTGATAATATTATACTGTTCTGTACATACCTTTGATTTTTTATACATTGTGTGATTTTTCGTGTGTGCCAGAATGATACTCTAACCATATGGTTTGCTGTCCTCGCTATTTACTGTATAGACTTCTCGATAAATGCTGGTCAGTCACCTAACTGCTTCACCATATGTCTTGAACCCTGACTGACTAATATCTACAGTACAGGCGGTAGATCGGGTTTACTCGTTGACACGCTTCCGACTGCCAAACAAGCCAGTGGAAATGCTTGGGCTGCCCGAATGCTTGGCATAGGCAGCGTTGCAGGTTTCTTTGTGTATGTAACTTCCTTCTTCTCCCATGTACGTGAAATAACGCTCTGTTGCAGGGGAAACATCGATCTTCCTCGTTTGTTCCCCTTCTTTGGCACAAAGCAGCTTGAGGTTCTGGCCGTTATAGCATCGCTGCTATTGATCTCAGCGCACATATTGACATCATACTTTGTCAAGGAAAAAGTTTTACTGTCTTCTTCGTAAGTGACTATTATTAATAAGTGAATAAATGCGTAGAAACTTACGAGAGGGTTAGAGTAGCTGCAAAAGGTTTCCGTAGTGAAATACGTGTTTTGTGGAATAGTTTGTTCACTCTCCCTAGGGCTATAAGACAGATTGTATGTATTTCGTACATCTTGTAAGCTTGCTTCTCACCCACCTTTACAGTGCATTATCCAATTTTTGTGAGTTTCGCTTGGCTGAGCTAATTAAAGCACTTACCCATGACCGTCTCAGTGCATGGTTAGCCTGGTTCCCTGTCCTATTTTATACAACAGTATATATCGGCGAACTCCACAAGCGGTCTTCACCTGTGCCAGAAAATGATGACGCTGCCCTTGTTCTGGATGCTGAGGCGACCCGGCTCGGTTCCCGTGCTCTTTTTTACAGTTCAGTGGTGTCCCTCGTTGCGAATGTGATCCTGCCTTTTTTCGTCACTGAAGCAGGGCGAACCAGTACTGCCCTTAGCCCCGTCGCCACTAGAGGAGCATGGACACGGTACATTCAAGTGCATCTATCCAGCTTATGGGCATCATCACACCTCGTTTTCGCTGTATGCATGGCTGCCACATTGTGAGCGCTCTCTCCCCATGGGACCTCGTTTCAGATTGCCTCACGATCTTCTTCGGCCGATTGTATCTTTTATTTTGTTCGGAGATTAGCTTCACTTCTAGCGTGTCAGGTGCTACATTCATCATGGCGACTACAGGTTTTTCTTGGGCAGTCACTCAGTGGGCGCCGTTCTCCCTGGTACGTCATTTTTGTTAGGTTAACCTGGGAAGTCTAACCTCCTTCTGCGATTTGTATTCATTCACAAATTATAGCTTGCAGAAGCCATTCTCTCACACCCCATGGTTGACGATGCGGGGTTAATTCATCTAGCGGACACGCGTTCGAGTCGAAGGCTTCATGCAGAGAATGATGAAACGCAGCAGCTGATTGAATCTCAACCCCAGGACGATGATGACACGTTCTCGCGATCGTCCTCCCCAGAACTAGAAAGGACTACGCCCCAGAGTATATTGAGAAACTCCAGGGCAAGGCTCAGCAGGGTTGATGTAGATTCAGCCGTTGAGTTCATGCAGCATGACCAAGACGGATTCGAAGCGGATATACTGAATAGGAAATCAAGTGGTGACTTGAGTTCCCAGGCAGGCGTCATCCTCGTGAGTGGCCTCCGTTTTTGCCCAGTTGTTTTGATCTTCAAATGCGTCTTATCACCATCAGGGAATTCATAATATGTTCATCGTCGTGCCACAGTTCCTCGTGACTGGTATTTCATCGATAATCTTTGCGATCTTTGAGCCTGATAAATCCATCCTCCATGGACATCATCCTGGAAGCACAACTGCTGCGAATAATACTGTCCAAGCCGCATCTCCGGATAGCACATCAGGAAATCTATTTCTACGACAGGAGGAAACCGACATTCCAAACACTGGTCCGAATTCAGTTGCAATCATTTTTAGGTGAGTTACGCCTATACTTCCCGTTCCAGGAGCCATGGCTTACAAGTATCTCTGGTCTTAGAATTGGAGGGGTAGCAGCTGCTATCGCATTCGTGCTTTGCTGGCGGCTTGCAAGGGAACTGAAGCATAAATGAGAATCGGTGACTTGCAATATATTTATGTTACAGACTTTACTAATTTACATCACGTGTACAAGAGCATGTTTTCTGCGTCTCTTCTTGATAAACGTACACATGAGATTCCGCTATTTGCTACTATTAGAACACCGTCCCGTCGCTTTCTATATCAATGGGAGGACCGCCTGTTTGCGGACGTCTTTGTTTAGCTATCTCTCTGCCACCCTTCCAAGTAGCACTCTCCAGCACTTGGGCGAGGGTCAGCTGAGTCGACGATAGCCCTAATCTGTGTCGAAGGGCATCCGCAATACGATCACTGATGGCTCATATTAGTATCACGTTGACCAGTAAATTAAACTGTGACTGACAGTTCGATGATGGTCATCGCTCTCCACTCTACGATTGCGGGGTGAGATGGCGGTAAGCGGGGAATTCCAGTGGAGAGATCGGGATAGAAGGACGGGGAAAGTATGTTTGAGCGAATTGTTAACACTCCGAAATCGACAAGGAGACCTCCTAAAGCCTCGTTAGGTAGTCGGGTCGAAAGGCGGAAGTGAATTCTTTACCATTTCTATATTCGGGTAAACCAGTCATGTCTTCCTTGCCTTCGAATGTCCACTGCAAGATCTTCTCGATCGGCTCGACGAGACTGTATGTGATCCATCCTGTTAGTTTGTGGAACGGCACTAAGTCGCCTGCTTCCACTTGTGTGACAGACTTGAGAGCCGAACAGGGCCAAACATCGCCCAGAGGAAGGCCTGCCAAGGATGTCCTCGCGGGCCAGATTAGGGCGAGGCCTTCAATCAGTGTGTGCCATAGAGACGATATATGGACTCGTCTAATCGATCCTTCGAGTATAGATTGGGTCTCAAGGAAGTCTGTATAGAAGTTCAGGGTTCTGGTCAGATGAGAGTATTGACATCATGATACCAAGTATATTTCCAGGTCTGGCATCCTTCCCAAAGAATTGAGGGCTTGATTTGAGGGCCTCACTCAAGTTAACCAACAAGGAAGTGCGTCCATCAAGTCCTACCATAGGGTTACTATCATTTACCTGCAAGGCTTCGGCTGTCTTTGCGGTGGTGATCTGAGACAATCCTTGAGCTGCATACAATCAGCATCAGTAGAAGAACTGATGGGGCAATGACGAAATCCGTACAATCCACTCTATAAGGCTGTGTTTTATCTCCGGAGAAAAGCCCCTCAGTAAACATGTGCACACTGGCGACACCTAAACCTTCAGAACGACTATATTTCTGCTTTGACTCCTTCTCGAAGAACGACCACTCGCTGCCTGCTCCTGCGTCGAGCAGAACAGAAACAAGAAAAAGATCGATCAAGCGTTTACATATTTCTTTATCGTCTGGGGGGTTGCTTGAGGCCTTCCATCTGGCTATCAAGGGTTCGACACGAGGACAGCCTGCGTCAAGGTGCCTCCATCGGCCATGAGGAGGAATCTGATGTCGTAAAGCTGAACAAGATGATGAGAATAGGCGAAGGGAACATACCGATGCGAGATTAGTTCCAAAGTCTCGCTGCAGATCACATGTCATCATGCATCAATGTGTGTTCTGAAGGCTGAGGATGGAACATACTTTGATGATTTGTTCACAAAACGCTACAACATCTGTCTCTTTTTGGGGGTGATATTCGAAGTATTCGAGCTTTCCTAGCTTTCCTAGCTCATAAACTTTGGTACATCTGTCTCTGATGGAAGGAAGAGTTCGCAAATAAACAGCCTGCTCTTGGGCGCTGGTTGTGGTGTTCAGGTTCATGGTTGAACTGCAGTTTACACCCGATTTACACATCTTACTACTAAATCCTTTTTTGGGAATGGCCAGAATGGATTTCCTTATTCGATGGCCTTGAGGATGTACTGCAGATATGCATTTCTCGAAATATGTTCACCATGCTTTGAGAAATGCCTCCCGGCTACTCCTCTGAATACATATCCAGCCCTGGAACACCCTAGTGATACACATACCGCAACTGGTATTAATATTTGGTGCAATTTTGGGTCAGGAATAGCTATAGCGCGTTTCTTTATTTACAGGTCACGCCATCATGATGCTGTGAGCCATTGGCATGTAATGTATCTATTCACTGGCAAACGCAGTTTCAAGTTTGGCTCATGTCTAACGTTAAAACTAATTCCAAAGGTGGATCGTGTACAACGTGTTTAGAAGTCCCACCGCAGAAGCTATGTTACAGTCATTCCCGCGAACCAATGTCTGAGCATTATCTGGATTAACCTCATAATGGCACTGTGCTATTGTGATAGATGTGGTAAGTGCTTTTTTCTATCCAATGAAATAATGATCCTTCCGCGCCAGATCTCCACGTTGAGGCGGGGTGCCCTGCGATGAGGCGACTGTCATCGGTGCTCCGTAACTTTCGGCGTCATATGCATATGGGAAGATTTACGCGCTGTTCCGTTACAAAACACGAAGGCCCATCACAAATGTCATGATGATGTTGAGTCTGCACGTTTGTCTCGGCGAAATGGGACTGGCAGGCGGGGATTTGCCTCAATGTACTGTGTCGTTAGACCCTGTGATTACTCCATTTCCCCCTGCGCAGCAACCAAAGCAGATACGTCGAGGCTCAATTGGACCCGTCCTCAGACACCCAAAGCCTGCGACGCTTGCAAACACAGCTGTTTACGTTGTTGCCCACGCTCATACGTCCCAAAAAGCCATGAACTGCTAAAAAGCAAATGCCTGGAATTGCCGCCTGTCTGAGAGTGCGAAAAGGGCAAGGATCTTAAAACAGGGGTGGCCGGAATAGTATCCGCATGTTCGAAATCAAGGTCTCTGCCTAGATCAAATCCTTCCCTCGTTGTTCCCTCGAGGTGGGATTAGAGAACTCTGATCAGATAAATGATGGAAGAAGGGCGCCGTTTTTGATTTCATATTAAGTTATTCAGGCCTATGGTAACTACCGCTACCCCACATATTATATGAAGAGAAGATCATGATCCCTGTCTGGAACAATGGTAACACAGTGTGTCCCTCCTCTGAGTGACAGTGGTTTCCGCTCTGTCCATCCTAAGAACAAGGTATGAGGTAAAGCATGATGCGGAACGTGAAAAAACTTACCACTGCTGACATGTTGATGGACAACCTGCACAGTTTCGAGGATGAGCAGCACTGTACCGACAATGGGCAGAGCCACAGTCAACCTGGCGGAACGGCGTCATTTTCGGCATATATGTTCGACACGATAAACATACAAGTACCTTTCCGTCTGTGATTGGCTCGTCGTGGCCACATTGATGTCTGGCACATTGCACTTGTCGGTGACACATTTTTCGAGGATAATAAAGTGTTATAAAAGTTAGATATGAGAGTAGGTCGTCGAAAATTTGACCAGTGTGTAGTCTGGTAGCTCGCTTTCTGGAGAGGGCTTCGAAGATGGAAAAACAGAGGTCTTGTCTGTGGTATTTTATACTTACAAAAACCCCTGAACCCGGGTAGCCTTGAAAAGTGGGGAAGAGCCGAGCAGACTCATCAGACTAGAAACAGCACATTAATTACGGTGCTGTCTCATACCGGATAATAGGATTCATAGAAACTGAAGTGTGAAGGGCTCCGGATTTAGTGGCTTATAGCGCGCTGAACTCCCTCAACTCCACAAAGGCGACAGAAGTCGATTGAATAAGATTTGGTTCCAATCCTTCACTGATTGATAACTTGAACGTGGAAACATGCATTGTGATAGTACATAAATCTGATGTGAAGAAAGTAACATGAGCATCACGGGGTAGCTTGAAAAAACCATGAAACCAATAGGAAAACAAACATTTCAAGAAAAGGATCACCTCAATTGGTCTATTGGATCTCCACCTGACCATGCTACGTCTCGTGCCCTCCAAGGAATCATCGCCACGTCTTCTGATACTCCTTCTTGTTGGCGAACATATGCCGATTTCGACAACCTGCCCAAAAATGAAGTATAACACATGGAACATGTGGTCGATCTAAGACGTCGCATGTGGAAACGCTCTCGTTTATGTCATCGACGGTAAGAGCGAAATGCAATTTTAGTTTTAAGTGCCTGCACAAAGTAAATATTAGACTTTTAGGGACTACGCAAGGTAAATGAGATCGATCTCCAATGTGTCCATACCTTTTCCCAGAGTGCCAAAGAACGACTAAACCCTCATGTATTTGAGAAATCATAGAGAAATCGCGGTAATAAGTTCGCTAGAAAGACGTTGCGTTAAGGTTGACATTCTTGAGCGAGGTACCTGACGATGCGTGGCTTCTCTCTCCACACACGTCCCGAGGCTTCGGCCAGCCAAAACAAATCATAAGGGGACGGAAGGGTACAGAAAGCCAATTACTCCAAGGTAGATCAAAAGCGGGGTTACTAATGAAGGGGGGAGCCAGTAAACGGTCATTGGACCACAACACGCACATCATGGACACATCAGTATAATTAGCGCAAGCCACGGACTGAAACTGACATCAATGTAACAGGCTCATTAATGTTTGACTTGGTTGGAAATGTTGGACGTACTAGTACATGGCCTTCCTTTGGGGCATAAATCGAGACTAGAGCCGGAAAGGCAGGTCGAGTTTAACAATCCAAGATACTCTTTCTGCAGCAGAAACGTCGCACTCATGCTCTCAACCACTCTTCTGCCCAAAATTGGTGTTCCCACCAATATCCGCCGGTCTTGACGGCGGAAACATGTCGGCCTGCTGCATTAGGTGCCAAAGACTGCTGAAGATACCAGATCTCCGTAACTCCCATTTGTCGCAGATATGTTGCCATGCGATTATAATTCAACCCCACGGACTGAGGACCGTGGCTATCGTCGGAGAGGGCAAATCGACCTCCGTGTTGGATAATGAGCTAGAGTCGATGGTGAGTTTGGGGGCGCAAGGGACGCGTAACTCCGCATACCTCTAGGACATCTTCCCCTGGATATGCAGTCTTCCAGCCCTTTTTTAATGCAGCCGCGTTAACTTCGAATAAAGCGCCATAGCCGATGGCGAATAGAACATTCCTTTCCAGCTTGGACCAGGCTGAAGGATAATCCTTGAACTGTATCAATGGATCATAGAGACGGCATAGATCGATGTGACCTATAATTTCCGGTTGACAGCGCTTGAAGAGCTCATATTGAGAATCAAAGTAAGCGGAGAGAAAGCTATCCATTTGGTCGGTTGCAGCATGTAGACCTTGGGCCTGATTCTCTACCGAAAAACTGAATAGCGCATTTTGAAATGTAGTGCGATCGAAGTCGATGGGAATGGAATTGACATGATGCAGAGAACCCACGACATAATCAACACGCCCCGCAGTACGTTTCAGAAGATCATCGAGATGGTCGAGATCAGTGGGGGTGATAAATTCGGTCTCGAGCCCAACTAAAAGGGTTATGCGAGAAGCATAGGCAGTTTTAAGACGGTGTGCTTCATCGAGAAAGTCTTCGAATTGCTTCAAGAGGACATCAAGCGACAAACCATCCTATTTGTACTAGCCGGATTAATCAGAAGACAGCTGGACAAGCACTGCCAGTCACCTCTTCTGGGTAGAGATCATCCAATCTATAGCGAGGAACATGTTCTGTGAGACCATAAAGCACAAAACCTTTGCTGAGTGCGGTGAGCACGACATCCTCCAAGAGCCCGGATGCATGTTTGCAGAACTGGCCTGAGTGGGAGTGATGAGAATGAGGCATTGGGAAACAAGAAGAAAAGCCTTGCCACTGACCGCTGATTAGGATTTTAGAGTGGGACTCGCTTAGAATCTTCTGATAGACCCCGGACACGCTGCTGGACGCCGGATGCTTCCGTACCACGAGATCATAGAGAGCACTACCTCTAAGCCACCGATGGCTCTCGACTGTTCGAGCCCTTGCGGCAAGCAGCACTCAATGACTCAAATGCGAGGCAGTCCCTGACCAGAAAAAAGGGCTCAAAAACGTTCAAAGCGGCTGATTCGTACGTATGGTCTCTGTAAATTACATGCATAAGTGAATGTCTGTCTATCGAGTTAGATGCACGTAGATGGAGATGATAATAATACTGTAAAGATAGCTGCATGGTTATTAGTGTTGTCTATGTGGTGCGTGATATATGCAGTCGTCAGTGTACCAAACCTCGCGAACGTTAGTCGTGCAAATCGTGTGCTTCAGTCCTGCTGATTTCTTTTACGTCGGACAAAAATGACTCTCGAAATGACCATCAGTATCAAACCGGCAGAGATGCATATCTGCATCAGCGGGTGAGCACGATGATGACAATATACAAAGACACCGATGACTCACCCCTGAAAATATGATAGCCGAATTCCAACTGTATGCACGTCCCAGTATTGCTCCGTTCACTGGCGTGCCAATGAGCATGGCTACAGCCACGACAGAAAATGCTATTCCGATTCGGATTCTAGAATGCAACATGCCAGGTCACCACAAGGGGGCAGGCAGGTAACTGGAATAGACACTCACCCGATCTCTCCCATATGGCGACAGAGCGTGGCTAGAAGAGAAGGAATGAGGGAAACGTCTAGTAGAAACAAGCATTCAGTAGGTTTCAATGCCCGCAAAAATACGCACACACATGCTCCTGATGAGAAACCAAACAATACTGCCAATGCATATACGGATCCCGTGTTATTGGCGCCAATAAGACCAAACAGAGTGACTGCAGACATGAAGATGCTTGGTAAAAGCATGTTGTACACTCCTATACGATCAGCCAAAAATGTAGGTATCACCCGACCAACCAAGCTTCCTGCATTGAGCATAGCCAGCTAATGGGTGTGGTAAGTACTTGCTAGCGTAAGAAAGACCCATAAAGAATGCATACTGAATAGAATGCGAGCTGATCACTGATGTTATGTGCCGTCGAGAAGAGCTCCAGATAAAAAACTGAGGACGGTATGAAACTCGTGAGGAGATACTATATGTCAGGTTGATTGGTTTGCGTACATGGAAAGAACATCCCAACATTGACTAAGAATGCACTGATAATGAAGTGACGATCAGTGGAAATTCATTACATCAATATATTCGAAACCGTACCCTGCTATGGACCATATATACGCGCCATCCGTAAGAATATCCTTGATATACGTGGAACCCGTGGAGCCCGTGGACGATGGCATTTTCGGAGGCGGTCGTGTCTTCATCAAAAATTTCGCGATGAATAGCAACCCGGCGACTAACGCAGCGCTAGCACGAACTCCGTTTGCAAAACCGATTCCAGATTCAGCGAAGAGTATATTGAGCATGATTGGGAAGATTATTCCGCCCGCTGAAGCACCAGACACCACGATACCTGTAGCCAGCGCTCGTCTACGCTTGAAGTGATGAGCAACGATGCTCAACGAGGGCACATACAACAGTCCTTGCCCGATACCCATCCCGACACCATGACTCAAGAAGATCTATTCACAGTTTTATCGATATAACGATGAGAAGATAATAAAAAGTACCTGATAATATTGGCCCGGTTGTACGAGTGAAAGCATGAACATCGAGAAGACATACAAGATGATCCCTATACTTGATAGGTGATGGCTACGATTGTACTCGTCATTAAAGCTGGAAGTTTGATTTCACTGAGAATAAAGACTTACAAGTAACCGGCATCAAATGCTTTTCCGACTAGCGCTCCGGGGGCATATAGCATGAATAACTGGAAGCTACCTATCCAACTGGAAAGATTGATTAATTTGATTTGGATTAACTGCAATTCCCATTGTCCCAACCTTATGTCGGACGCCGTTCTATCTGAGAGAAGGACGCGGGTGTAATAGTCTGCAAAAGGAAACAAAATATGCGTAATTACGACTGTGAGACTGGACGGAATTCAACTGAAGAACTCACCTTGGTAAACCCCAAATGCGTTGATGTAGCTGTCAAGGCCGTGACAAATAAGCGGTGCTATTGTAACTAAGTTCTCTGCGAAGAGGCATACCCAAACGTGCAGAAGTTTATCATACATCTAAAGCATGTTTAGCACAACAAAGCGACTTCAAGGCGAATAACACATACGCTCCTGCGACAGTCAACCAAGCCTCCATACCTCCATCTGGCGGCGCTGCGGCAGACACGGGCGCCTGCTGGCTCTCGAGCTGCTGGTGGTCCTTCTCGAGTGTCTCATGGCATCCTTGGACGGGTGTGGCAGTGATCGTGCGGTCTTCGCTGTGGTTGGACATAGTGTGAACCCCAAGCAACGTCGAAAGTGATGCTACAGAGGAGAGGATGGAGGTGGGAGACAAGAAGGGCTCGAGTGCCAAAACTCGCTGGATCCTCGTGGCATTTCGTGTATTGCTATCAGACTACCGAACAACGTCTGGTTTCCCCTTAAGCTTCCTGTTGCCTGTTTGTTATTTGCCAAGTATTTCCGGAGTTCACATCTCTGTCTTTTCATGGTCACGCCGCCGGCCGCGGTATTTCCCTTGCGAAAAAAGATCGGGAACTCACGCAGTCACGTAATTAAAATAATAGACAAAGAAACAAATTATGGTTTTTGAGTTGCTAAACAGCCCCGACAGCGAACATGGGTCAGACGGCATGGGTCCATGTGGGAGCTGAACACACGCAATACAATAACAGGTCGCTCCCATGCCCATTTTTCAGGAAAAGTACAAGCTTTCTCATGCTGAAATCGGAGACCCTAATTCGCGAGAACTGATTGCAAACTGGCGTTATTAACCTTCTCAAGTACGTCAAAAGGACAACTTCGACTTCTAAATAGGGCGTGGAGCGTTCTTTGAACTCGCCATTTTAATCGGTCCTGAGGCTGTAATGGCACGTTCGAGAGCCTGTTGCCGGCCACCAGGAGTTCCTTCATTTGTAGTACTAGTCTCAGAATGAGATGATGAACATCTATTTGAGCGATGCCGGCTGACAACACTTTCCAACTTGATACAATGTCAGCTGGTGAATGCGACTCCTACACTGTCTGCGGATCCATTGTCCGTGTATAGTGAGATTCGGACCAAGGATTCACCAATACCCCAGTTCTTTATTATCCGCATCTTTCACAATACTTGGCCGTAACCTACGCAGCAAAGGAAAGGCTAGGCATGAAAATCGTGCGGATCGCATGCTTTGAGACCTGGGCCCTTATGAAAAACCGTAGACGGCAATGACTCATCACCCTTCCAGCCCTAGGCATTTTATTCACTGCCTCTGCCCTCGTTGCGAGCTCCTCCCGGAAAAGGCGGACGGGTAGGAGGCGTCCTACTCCTTGAGCTGCCAGGCATTGGACTCGACCGCCTAGACGAGGTGGGCGTTGGTCCTGAACTTCCAGAGGCCCGCCCTCTCAACGAGGACGACGGTGTGCGCAATGGGGTTGTTCCTGCGGGATACATCGCTGGCGGAGGATAGCCTTTATTCCAAGGCATCTTTAAACGAATCCATCCGATCCATGTTTTGGATGCAGCCGTCCGCTCGCGCTCGTCCCGTTTCCGCTCAAATGCGGAACGGTAACGCTCGTACGACTCACGAAACGGGCGATCCACTCGAGAGGAGAATATGAGTTCACCACGCGGATTGCTTGACGGAGGTATAGGAGAAATGGGGATAGACGAGTTCCGCTCGACGTTTGCTCGGGTGGGAGAGTGCTGCCTGGATCCAGAGTCGGGTGGAATTGGTGCAGGTCGAGGAAATAGAAACGACAGCGGGTTGAAGGAGATTTTTGAGCGTAACGAAGGTGTGCGCATGTTTAAATACATGTTAAAATTTCGCAAAGCTTTGTTAGCGTGAGGAACATATCTGTAGACGAGGCAGTCTGTAACACAGAACAACTGATTCCAGGGAGGAGCATACATACCGATTAGCGTACGCGATTTTTTCAGAATACATACCACTAGCAAAGAACAAGACTAGAGTGGTCACAGATACGAATAGTAAACCTGACGCAAGGTGCGGATGAGGGGTGACCTCTTTGTCGACAGTGTAGATCTCCGGTAGAGCCTTCTGAAGCACGAGCTTGTAAGGCATAGTAAGGAAGGCGGTCTGCAAGAGAACCTCCGAAAGTAAGAATCCAATAACGAGTATAAGTTGTCCTAGAAATACTGCAACGTGGAGCGTCTCAGATGAAACATACACTGCAGACACAGACATACAGAGCGTGACGCACACTGATAACGAGACTTTCTACGTTGCAAATTTGCAGCATTTGTCTTTAATCGCTCTTCAAACAGGAGCAAGTCGCGATAAGTTGCAGGGTCATTGGGTGGGTGAAAAGAAGTCTTTGAATGAGGTGGGGTGGGTCGACGGGCCATACATGAAGTCAAGAATCAGCGACACCGCGATAGATAATAAGGCTCCAGATGTTGTATATTTGACAATATAAAGTATAACCGAAATCCAGGACAGAGCCTATAACGGCGCCGGTAAGGAGCTTTCGTGCCAGTGTTTGGTTGCAGTGCGTAGACTGGAACCAATTTGGACCCTAACCCTAACCTCGGTTACCTCACGTGGCAAGCTGCAGCGTGTCTGACCTCAAGGTGCTGGCGGAACCACAACATCGTCGGGCGCTCTCTACGTCCACTGACGACGTTCACGATTTTCTTATTCTTTATTTCACAGCTTCAGATCATTCCTATGACTGTGACTATACTTGCGTCTGTATCTCTCCTTGCGCTGGTCGTCACCGCACGTCCCATCATACCCGAGGCTGAGTTGTAAGTTGTAACGTGTCAGTGTCACTCAAGTAGATTTGCAGTTGACCTAGTAATAATAGCAGTATTGGCGTGTCCACTGATGTGCAAAGTACAGTGCAAGCTGTCTTTCAGTCTCGCGTAGGGTGAGCTGGTCCTAAATATCTAATAACTCGCATTCCCGCTCAGTTCTTTCGGCTCCAGTCACCTCCCAGATGCTGCTTCTGGACAAAGTGGTACTCTGGACGTGAAAGTCATATCTGCAGATGAGCAGAATGAGTATCTCTCGCAATTAGATGATGAATCTGTCATGGCAGTCGTGCCTTTGACTACCAGCGATTCACAAACTGAAGAGGAGAAGAAGCTCTACGATATGTTGAGCAAGCTAGACGCGGCGGATGGCGGATTCCGCGTCTGGCGCCAGGACGAGGACATTGCGAGTCTATCAAGGCTCGCATCGCCGAATACGGACCTCGCCAAGATGGATGAGAATTCAGAACGGAGTGAAGACTCGACTTTATTGCCACCTTCTGAGATGTCTCTGATGAATTCTCCTCCAATTCTCGTGGTGGTTTTTTCCTGCATCGCTGCCATCTTAGCGTTATCTTGCATCGCGCTAGTGCTCTACATCAGTAAGCTAATGCAATCTCGCGTCCTCGCCTCGCAAAATGCTTGGGAGTTGTTGCCCCGACTCGAAAAGCAGCATGGCGTGTTCTATGCTGGACCACCCTCGAATGGACCTTTGTTAGAGGAGAAAAGCGCGCTATATGCTGAAGAGAACGAGAAAGTAGAGCAGGCTGTTGCCTTGCGTGATGACTTGCTCGATGCACAGAGTGACGTGGCAGACGGTGCCAAACTCTGCAGCCCCGAGAAGCCTCGTAGTTTTCTTCTCAGAGTTGACCCGCCCCAAGAACTTCTAGACGAAGAAGACATCGACGAGAAGTTCCATGACGCGCTAGACCTCAGTCCCCTTCTCCCCACCCTGGAATTATCTTCGCATACCACCGATATAATTGGAAGCCCGAACCTCATTTTGAAGAACATATCCTCGGACGATGTCTTCTCTTCTGCATCCCGTTCACCTGATCGACGTCCGCTTCAAATGCGTGATGTTTCCTCGTCTCCGGTATCTCGCCCTTCATGGTCCCTTCGCGCAGCAGGGTCACCTTCCCTGACTGTTGCTCCCCAGCTGCAACCACCTTCCGAGGACTCGTCAGCACTCGTGTTTTCTCGCAACCGTGCATACCGCGCAGTCCCAGAATTTGATTTAGCTTTAGCTATGCAGCTTCGGCCTGGACTCGGCATCGGTGCTGATCCAGCGTGGATGGTTCGATTTTTGATGGCTATGTTTGGCTGGTTCACAGTTCTCTTGACTGGAAGCCGCTAATTAAACTCACTTCACGCAATGTTACTCAACTCCACGGATTCTGGCATTCCCCAAGTCAACTCAAGTCGCGCCCCGCGCCTCAGTTCACATGTTTGCTTTTACATTCCATTCTAGAAATCTTATGTCCGCATCATTAGCAGTTATGGAGTTCATTTATACGCAATGGGACCGTCGCTCGTTCATATTTTCATATTTCCCCCGCATCGCATTTATTTGCATTACCGTCACCATCATGCAAGTTGCACTTATATTTCAAGTACTAGTACCCACAATTCATGTGGAGGTATGGATTGACTTTTGTCTGATCCTTGTTTTACTGCTATGTTCCTATATCCTTCGCAAGTGCAATGTCAATATCGTCGATTGTGTCTTTCTACTACTATGTTTGCCTGTGCATGTGCATTAGATAGTCTTCGACTTTTTGCCATCTTGCCATTGTGGTTTAAGCTGGTATATAATTATAGCCTTGAAGTTGTTTTGTTCCACAATATAAATGCCCACAGTAATTTTATCAATTATATGGAGGTTCACCGCCAGCAAACGCGAGCTACAAGACTGCCACTGAGCTGAAATTAAATATTACGTAATCGCTACTAGGGTCTTATTGAGGCTGTATGCAGTCGCTACCAGTCATACCACGATCCTCATCCATTCTGCTATAGTTCAGACTTCTGTCTAGAATTCCGTAGAAATCGACAGGACAACAGGAAAAAGTTAATTACTTCAGTCATCACACAAGATTTATAGATCTGCAACAGATACACACATTTGGCAAGCACGACTCCCATCACAAACGCAGTATACCCATCTGCCAAAGCACTGCACGACACTTAACGACACCCTCAACGGCCCTACATCTCTGAACATAGTTGAGGCAGATTGATATAGCAGAACACGCTCTTCCAGCAGCTTTAGAAGGCCTGACACATAGAGCATGGTTTACGACAAGGATGCATTGGTATGCACACTAACTGGAAATACGATAATTGGAATTGTCGTTGAAATGTTTGAGTATAGTGGGAAACAGGATACGACGAATCTGTTGAAGTCAACCAGCGTGCCTTGATTGACAAAGTGCTCGCTCGATATTCTGGGGAATTTACTGGTGCGCTTGCGTGTTTTATAAGCTGCAGCTCGTTTCATAAATTCAAATATCAATAATTTCTAGTTTTTAGAGAACTTCTACAGAACTCAGATGATGCTCAATCGACTTCAGTGGAGATTCGATTTGAAACTGAAGACTATGTGAAGAGGAAGTCTGGCAAGATTGCACAGGAGTACTACACTGAGAAGCCAGTTCTTTCCGACTTGAAAACTACGGTAGTATGTTACGTTTTTACTCTTGACTCATGTACATACCGTGAACTTTCATTTTATCAGGTTTCACAGTGGACATTCAGAAATAATGGCATGGCTTTTAGAAATGAGGACTGGGATCGTCTTAGGAAAATCGGTAACTTCCACAAGTGTATGCTGTTGTTCCGTTACTCAGTTTCTCAATAGCGGAAGGCAATCCAGATGAGGATAAGATTGGTGCCTTTGGAGTTGGTAAGTAAGATTTGTGGTGAAGTCCTTCCACATCAGTGCTCACACTGAGTTGTACAGGATTCTATAGTCTGTTTTCTGTCACGGAAGAGCCTTTTGTGACATCTGGGGGTGAGATATATATTCTATAGTATCACATCGACTCTGACCTCGTAATGTGAAGATCGCTGGATGCGCTTTTACTGGAAGGATAATAAAGATCAAGTGAGTACAATGTTTTGGAAGTCTTTAACACTCACAAATATCTCCTCAAGCTACGTGTAAAACGTGGCGATTTACCCTCTGAGGGTGGTCCAGACCCTTGGACATCATTCGAAATGACTCTAAGAGAAGCTGCTCCAATACCGAAAGCATTTGACTTCACGCGATTTTTGGCCTCCTCAATTACATTTATGGCTCACCTATCAGATATCAGCGTTTATTTTGACGACCAACGTTTGACACGTCTGACCAAATCTACTGGTATCCCAAAGGACCTTGGCCTTCTGAAGGGCCTTAAGAATACTAGCGGTTTGGGAATAATGAATGTCAAGGGTATCAATTCTACCCGTAAGTCATTTTTGGCATATGCCCTCGTCTTACACTCACCAAGCAACAGAGATGAGGATTAAGGCAGAGGTTATGGAGGCAGTTTATTCTGTAGGAACAGAGAAGCCTTCCATTACTGCAGTGGTCAAGCAAAGCAAACCATCAACGCAAGGAGGATTCTTTTCTTCACTTCTCTCGAGTTTTACCGGGACTACGACCCCTCAGCGCACGGCCACACCCCTGCCTGCGCCGCCCGCAGAAAACAAGAATCCTACGGAGGTCCATGAGACAAGTGTCACACTATTGATATTTTCGGCAGATGTAGATGTCCGATTGGATAAAAAGATGGTGACCGAATTGAATCGCTCCACGAAAAAAAATCCTCCGCAGCAGCTGAAATACAATCTTATATATGTCAGTGTAGTGGGAGGTTTCCTTCTTGAAATTCATGTTGAATATATCCTTTAGACCGCCAAAGACGAGTACGACGCTAGTATATCTGAGGAGGAGAAACAGCCCTTTTCAGGTGGAAGCATTTTCCAAGGCCTTCGCGCAGATCTTCATGGGTAAGTCATCGAGTGCTAGGTTCTCCTCCCTTCTAATGTGACGATAGGTCTGGCTCTGCCCGCGTTTTCATTGTTCGTCTGTTTGTAGTGCCATAATGTTGTACCGGTTTGCTCATCATTTTTCAGGGTCATGCCACTGGACAAACGACCGGGATAGGAGGTCATATGGCTACTCGTTTCATCCCAACGGTCGAGCGAGAGTCCATAGATTTAGTGTATGTTCCTCGATTTTTTTTGTTTATTTACCAAGTTACTCACAGAAAATCCATTCAGTGACCGTAATGTCGCAAGTGAGTCTAAGCAAGACCATGGCTCATCTCCTATTAACATATTGTGCAGTATGGAATAGGGAGCTACTCTACGTAGGTGGGTTCCTCTGCCGTACGGCATATGAGATGGAACTCGTAAACATTCGCGCCTTATGGGAAGGAGCAGCCAGCTCAGCTGCCACGCCGGATTTCAAACCTGACTCTGAGCTAAGAGCTTGGTTACATAACCGATTCTTGCATGCCCTCAAATTTTTCACGTTTCATCCGTCTACGCCATCTTCAGACGTTTCTCGTCTCTTGGAGGTCGCCTTCTTTGCTTGCTCCCCTCAACATCCCTTCAGTATATTATCTACGGCTGGTGTGCGCAGCGCATTCGATGTTCGTATGCCCGATCCACTGTTCGCATCATTCCTGAAGCAGTTACCTGTTCTTCCTGAGGGAATTATCACCGAAATTCCTCGTATGGCCGCCTCGCTCCAAGACAGAGGAATGCTGAAAGATATCACATTCATGGACGTACTGGGTGAATTGCGGTCCAGACCTCTCAGTGAAGAGGAAATGATTGCTTGTTTGAAGTGGTGGATCGGCTTGAGCAAACAGGGCGATAATCCGAACTTATCACGAATTAGGACGGAGTTTATTAACGCTGCTGTATTGGCTTCTGGCAGGCCGGCCAGTCCAGACGAAAAGATACTCCCCCTGTCGTCTGTCCAGACTTTCATAAATCCAAAGAATATGGGCCCACTAATTCCTTTGGATGGCCCACTTCCTGATCATCTCTTGCCTCTAAATGTTAGCAAACACGTTGATTCTCTAAGCCTGTCATCTTTTGGATGGAGAGAGCTGTCGATTGCAGATTGGATACAGTATATTCTAAAGCCTGATGTCCTGGCTGCTAACGTTGATAATGATATCACCAAGTCTCCTGTATGGGCAGAACGAGTTTTAATGGTTATTTTGCGTGGCTGGCCAAACATGTCGAACGAAGCTCGCAACACAGTCGCCACAAGCTTGAAAGACAAGACATGCATACCCACGTCGTCAGGCATGAGGCTACCTCGAGAAGCATATTTATCTAGTGCCAACATCTTCAAGGATCTTCCTATAGTAACTCTTCCATCCGGGACGACTATCAAGCTATCATTAGAGAAAATTCTCGTTAGCATCGGGGTGAGAAAGCACGTGGATTTGCAGGTCGTGTTTGATAGGTACGGTGGTGAACTTGAAATATTTATTGTAACGTCAACTTCAATTACACAGAATGATCAAGACTGGTGACTGGACCATCTCGGATCTGACCACCTATCTAGTGGCTGTCCAAAGTACTCTTACTCCTGAGGAGGTTGACAGGTTGAGGGCCACTACAGCTTTCACAAAGGAGGAGCCAGACGAAAATTCTACGAAAACTCAAAAGAGGGCTCGCTACCGCGCATATGACCTGTATGAACCCAGCACTATATTCCGCCAGCTGAAGTTGCCTATCATTGATTGGGGACACCAGGTCAAGTGGAAAAGCAGCTCTGAAGAAGGTCAGTTAAACCATTTCAAGTAAATACATACTTATCAATACTTTTGATGCAGCGAAATTCCTGTATCGATTGGGCCTTCGTCGCTCCCCTCCACTAGATATTCTTATCAGATTATGCTCTAGCCCGGATGAAGAATTACATCCTATTGCTTTCAAGTATCTGCTGGATAACATGTCTAAATATCCTGACTATGACCCGGAAAGATTCAATGATATATCATTTATTCCAGCTCTCGACGGTTCTGCAACTCGTTTGGGCACCTTGAAAGAGGTAAGTGATATGTGAACTTTTTGAAGTGACTACTTTTGAAGAATATATCAAGGTCTTCGCCAATCCTGACTGGGCGTCATTCGGATTTCTGGTAGTGCAACCACATCTCCGGGATGGTGCTGTGTCAAAACTTGGCATCAAAGATCACCCTCCATCTCAAATGTTAGTAACGTTACTGGAAAAGAATGCTCCAAAGTCTGAGGACACTGCGAGGAAATGGTTTTCAACCCTTTCTGGGCATGTTACAGGTACCTTAGAGGAATTTATTGAGTTGCAATGGGGCTAATTTCTTTCAGCGTTCTCACCATCTCAATTGGCCACTCTTTCTAAGCTGCCTTTTGTGCCTGTAAAGTCATCGAAGTCACTTCCTGATACAAGCTCTAATCAACGTTCAAATACCATTCGTTGGATAACCCCTAATCAATGCTACTTTGGAGGAGAATCGAAGGGACAAGTTCACTCGAAACTTTTTGTGTTCGTTGACTTCGGATCCACTGCGAACAGTTTTCTCAGTGCATGCGGAACTAAGCATGAGCCTTCCATAGAAGAAATCGCTAATATCCTTATCATGGACCCTCGTGAATTCTACAGGCTTGCAGATGGACGTGACAAGTACGTATCCTTCTGTGCGTGTTGTTTGAATTTTCAATGACTTCCTTCAGCTATCTGGTCGAACTTCGCAATCTCGCTGTTAATCGTCGTCTGATTTCGCAACTAACCTACAATCGAATGAGATCTTCTCCTATCTTGCTGGGCATGAAACGAACGCGTCGTAAAAACTCGGAAAAAGAGAAGGGTGTTGGTGTTGCAGAATGGGATGAAGATGATTGGGAACTCTTATACGATCTACGAAAACCTGGAGAAATTATTATCGCTGATGACACAAATGCCTACCAACTTTTTGGGGACTCGATCTTCACAGCGCCGCAGGAGGATTTATTGGAAGGTAAGAGTCCGTCATGCCTGAGAATAGCACCCGTTCAAATCCGAAAGCAAAGAATTCTACATCGATCTAGGCTCCAAGCGCCTTAGTGCAACGATCCGTGAAGAGTACAAGACCACCTCTGAAATCAAGAACTCTAAAATCGCTACTGACGTCCGTAGCCTTATACTGGAAAGGTTACCCTTGTTCCTCCACGAGCATACTCACACTCGCACACGCATCTCCCTCGGATGGCTCAACAATGACAAGAATTTCCTAGTTAAAATATTCGGAAAATTGACAGTAGCCAAAGGCCTCGATTTTGGTGAAGTACGGCTGACAAGAACTCAAGATGCTTCGGCTGCGGCGCAGCGGCGCGGTTATGGTCCTATCGAGCTATGGCTTTCTGGTAATTCCCAAGTGGATATGTATGAGTATGTATTGGGCCAGCTAGGGTTCGTATTCTTATCTAATGATTATTAACAGGGTCTCCACTTCACTGTGCCGATTGCTATTTGATTCGGCGAAGGTTAACGATGCTTTGCTTTTCATGACAATCCTTTCTACTGATCTCAGAGCCCTGAAACGTCGTGGATACAATGGTGAGCAAGCAATTACTACCCTTGGTTGAACTGATATGGATTGGATCATATATAAAGTTGACAAGATCTTAAGGCAGCAGCAGGCCGATCGACAGGCAGTTGAACATGCCTTGAAGATCAAGGCCGAGAATACAGCTCTAATTTCCACGCCAAATACCACACCTGGTGCGAAGGATAGGCCCGCCGCTGAAGTCGCATCCCCGCCGCCTTCAGTTCCACAGCGGCCTGGCATACCAGGAAAACTTTTGACGCACGAACCCACGACAGCTCCTGCACCAACGCCAAATCCTCCGCGGGTTGATTCTGCATCCGAAGATCAACTTACAAAACAACCTGATAAGCCAGGACTTCGACCAGCGTCAACGATGATAGGCTCCTTACAAAGCTGGAAGCGAAAAATCACCGGACATCCCCATCAAGAAGATTTGGATGGTGGCCCATCATTAGATTCTCAGGTTTTGGCCTCAGGTCATCCTCAAAGGTCTACGTCACGTCCTCCTGGCCCAGCCGATGGTAGAAGCCCCATTGTGACACCTCTGACCAATATTCGTAAGTTCTAATCATGTCTTTGCAGACATAGTGATTGACCCAAGACCATAGGCGCAAACGTAGACATGGCGATCAAGGCATGTAGGCCTGAGCAAGGAAAACTACTTCACAATAGACAGGAAATGCAGACAATCAAGGAATCCCTGAATGAAGGCTACTGTGACACTTCAGGGCATGTGGGCGAGCTCGATCTCATTGGTATGGTTTTTTTACTTTACGTACCACGTCGTCTCTCTGACGATACCTGAAAGGTCAAATGGGCAACGTCAAAGTCTTTGCAACTCGAGGTAATTCCCGAGTTCGTGCTTGCCTTTTCATAGCTAAGTAATTGATTCATTGTAGACGTTCCTGAGCCGCAGTCTATTATGACAAAGAAGCGCGATTCTCTAGCGCGATTTATTCATGTTATAAGCTCTCTGAGCGTCATCTATAAACTCCCTATGACATCTCTGCACATATTCTACGACTCGGGAGGAGGACTCATCGCATTCAATCGGAATGCCAGTATATTTCTTAACTTAAGATATTTCGAGGCTTGGCGTGAGTAAAGGTGTGATTCCACCTTGGAAACTGTCGTTGACCCACATTTCCCCATAGACGATTCGGATGTTCGTAACGGCGAGCTTAAGCAGGCTCAAATTTCCTGGTCAGTGCTTTTAACTTGTATCCTTGTCTCTTACTCACTTCTCCGTAGGTACTTTACACTGGCACACGAGATTGCACACAACTTAGTGCAGCCCCATAACTCCGAGCATGAGTTTTACTTTTCTGCGTTGTGCGAGGCACACCTAGTTGCCTTCAGCGAAATGTTGGCATCTCCAGCACGAGACATCCAACTAATCTCCCCACATTTTACGTCATAAAGGAAATAGTACGATAGTAACGATTTAGTTTCCCCTATTGATAAGTAGTTAAAGTTGTCACATTTGTACTTTCATCTCACAGTGTAATTGAACCGTCACTCTCGAACATGTCAAACGCTACTCCGTGGTGCGAACTCATAAGCCTTGGCTTCCGCGCGTCACATGTGCTCCATATCTCAGAGCCATGCAGAACAACGATGCATTTCTATACTTGTTTGGGGGTCACGCAAGGGCACACCATTGACTCCTGCCATTGAATCAAGCGTAAGAGTATCTGGACTATCTATGCTAGTTAAGCATGCTAGCAACACCGGTAATAACACTACTAGTAAAGATGACACGACTTTCTACTCTTCATAAATAAATAACCAGGGCCGTTTTGCCATTTAAGCACACAAGTAAGGCAACAATACTAGATTTCACCAATCACATAACCTACTATTTTCAAGGGCGCTGACAAGGCGTGATAAACAGAGGTAGCTGATTTTTCTTCTCGGGTTCAGAGATGACGATAGGTCGTTGTACAATGGTGGCCTTCTTGCCGATATCGCTCGCTGGCACTGCCAACTCAAACTCAAATGCTCGAACCAGGACGAAAAGCAGGACTTTCATCCTATAAACGGTGATGAGTCATGTTATCAGGATTTTAAACACCATGAATGATGCTTACTCGACCAGGGAGAAACGATAACCAATGCAAGCGCGTGGGCCTCCCAAGAAAGAAAGGAGATGACCCCATACACCTGGTATGCTCTTTATGGTTTCTGGAGTTGCTTCCCACCGTTCGGGTCTTACAATCGATGTCAGCACGTACAAAAAGTATGAGAATTGAGCAGGTGAACGCACTTGAATTCCATAGCATCTTCGCCCCACAAGGCCTTGGATCTGTTTATAGCCAAGATAGGGATAAATATCGAATCACCCTTGCTGACTCTGGTAAAAGTGAGGTGAGTTGATAAATGCTATTAAATATTCAAAAAGGCAGTCATACTTGATTACATCTTGCTGATTTCCGTATTTGTCGATAAATGGTTTGTCTAAGGGCAAGATATCGTCTTTCATGGCGATCCGCACCGTATTTGGCACGGGTGCGTGCAGACGCAAAGTTTCTTTCACTACAGAATCAAGATACGGTAGGGCAGTCAGCTCATCCATGGACGGTCTGTCGGACGATACGCTATATATCTCATCTCGGAGCTTTGTTTGGACCTCAGGGGCCTGCGTGAGAGCGAACAATGCCCATGTGGTCGCGGTGCTACGAAACTGATGAGACTTGCCCCATTGTAATCGGAGTATAGGGGTATTGCATACCTTGTCGTTTCATGTCCAGCGACTAAGAAAGTTGGGACCTCTGAGATCGAAAGTGAGCTTGATGTTCGGGAACAGAAGAAAGTTAAGCGTACGAGCTAATACGTCCTCGTCGGATATTCTTTGGCTATCGGGAATATCCGTCGCCATATTTGCTTTGACCAAGAGAGATAGTAAATCACGACCTTTCATACTGCTCTTCTCGATCAAACCTCCTTTATCACCCCCCTGAGAAGCTATCACTGCTTCCTTACTTTCACGCAACAATTGACGCCCAATGCGATTCATTGTTTTCTGTGCAATATCAATCTTCTTGCCATGCTCAGTAGGCTATAGCGGTGTAGTTAGCTTGGAGGTACTTCACTTAATATGAACGAGCTACGAACGATATACCGAAGAAGAGAGAAGCGCGACTGGAGGAAACGAAGGATATCCATTTGTTGGCCGGCTTGGAACATAGTGGTGAAAGCCTGGTTCAGCTCATTTGGTTTTTCATTGGCATTTAGAGCGTCGAAATTGTAGTTGAAGCCTATTTTGAAAATTATGTGAGTTCGAGTTGCAGAGTTGTTTTTTAGTGTGACGTACCTGCCAGTCCGATAACGTCCAAGGTCATCCTGCCCAACCATGACAAGACATCAATCCGCTTACGTTTTCCCTCTTCAGCTGCAGTAACCTCAGTGTACCAAATATCCCGTAGCTGCGCATTGTCCTTTAAAATAATCGCTAGAGAAGGACAACTAGAGAATTTTACCTTTTCTGCCTTGTCGTAGAAAATGTCTGTCAGTGCTCGAATTTGAACAGGTCCAAATGCGGGATTCTGAAACACAAGTTAAGGAATTATGAGTGATTTAACACAAATAATCTCACCATTATATGACGCTAAAATGTCATCACAAGATATTTAGAACGTAGGTTGGGAATACAAACATGACCATGACCTACCTGTTGACGATGTTGTGCCCCTATTGCGTGTTAGAGTTAATACTATTCAGCTAAAGGGAGTAAACTCAATGGCTGACCCTCTACGAAGAGAACACCTGCGGACACATAGATGAGGATTAAGAATATGCATAAGAAATTGAGATGCGTACCTTCTCCAAGGACACGGGACAGATTATATCTTACTTGTTCTGGCTTTTGATAGTCCAAAGAATGTGTAAGAACGTGATTCAAAGCACGAGTGTCCATAGTAAAGAGACGATTGGACTGTTTTCGAAATTATATCGTTCATGAATGGTCAGCTCAATGATCGAGTGATAACGCACGTTAAAGAAACCCTTATATCTGAGTGTATTGCCGTATTCCTTGATCCATTGCTCATGGAGTACCGAGTTCTCCTAGAAGAGGCTGTAAGTCGGACTTCTTGCGAACGGTCGTGCTGCTTACAGATTTGAATATATCTTTCAGGTTCCCGTAAAGCCAGCTGGTGCCCTTTGGACCACGCAAGTTGCGCAGCGGTGACCTTAACTGTTGTATGACTGCTTCCACGAGTTTCCATAAACCGAAGCAAAGCAGCGTAGCAGTCGCCGATAATGCGAGTTTCAAGAGCATGATGGGTTACGAAAACAGAATACGCCCAAAAGTGGTGTATTTTGAAAGATCTGCACCAGGATTTATGGGGAGAAAATGTTGGTGGATGCGGATACAGTCTTCCTTGAGGTATTCTGAATCTTTACAGTCTGCAGCAAGATTTATGGGGAGAAACGTTGGGGGATGCGGGTACGGTCTCCCCTGTGATATTTCTGAATCTTTATATGTTTCCGTATGAGAGGGGCCGGATGACTAATGGTGGGAATGTCAGCAAAAACGAGCTTGCTATACTTTCAAAGGTTGATTGGGTTTACGAGGTCTTGCCGCGGTTATTGAATACAGCCTTGGTGGGCCGAAGATGACATGCGGCCCTCTTGACTGCGTTGAGTGCCTGTATGCGGTCCTTTCTGACACGTTATTGATTCATGTACACGTATACTCGAAGATGAAAGGCAGTGTTGCAGTGGTGTGGTGTGATTAGCTGCTGAATAGGGACAGATGATAGACTTTGGCACCGTACGAATGCGTATAATTATCTCAATCGATGCCGAGGACAACAGAAAAACTTTGCAGGCTGATCGCAGCAACACTAGGACAGCCCCCCGGTATTCACAGACCGGTTTTGCACCGATGTCCCGGTCATCGTTTCATACGTGAAGCCTGAGACTTGATGAAAGATATTGCCGTTCACGCGTAAATAGACAGACTAGAGACACTGGCAGATAAGAGGGAAGTAGCCCTCGACACACTAGTACTAGTAGGCGGAGTTGTGACGAATGCCATAATCGTGACAGCTAAAATTCAAGGCAGCCAGCCGTGACCTTGAACCGTTTTACACCGCGACATCGTTGCATTTCGTGAACACGCATTCTCTCTTCAGTCTTATCAGTGCCCGATGTCTCAAAACAAAGACATCGAGGGCGGGTTGGTGTACAATGGGTACGAGAGCGCTCGTGATCCTGATTCTGAGCGCGAAGCACTTTTGCCAGCCTCCAGCGAGACTGACGCGGCCGTCCCAGTTGCTCTCTATTCGCCCTCTCAGTCTCGTTTCAATTTGCTACACCTAAGCTCTGCTTTTGCTGCAGGTGCCATCTTATGCCTGCTTGCTCAACTCGCCGTATTAGGGCCCGGTTGCTTCTCTCCTCGTAGTCCAGTCGATTGTCCAGCCAACGAGTCTTACGTATATGCTGCTCCTTATGCTGGCTCAACCGAAGTAGACAACTATCCTCCTCCTTCGCCTACCAACGCCTTTCCTTCGCTTTTCCCCACCGGGTAAGCTTTTATCAAGAGTGTAACGACAATGATACTCAAACACCTTGACCAGTGTTGGATATGCCGGTGCCACTCCCACCGGTGCCGAGCCAGCACTAATTGTTACTGGTGCAGCATACCCTTTGCACACTGGTGCCGCACAGCTTGTCGCACCATCCCACTTCCACAAGTCGGATGAGTCCGAAACTGAGTCCAGGAAAGAGAAAGACTTCGATATTTTCAGAAAGTGGGGTAATCTGTCGCCGTGGTACAGTGTCAAGAAGGGAGCTTTCGGTGTCGACTCTGGCCCTGAGCCTCCAGAAACTTGTAGGATCACTGGCTTGCATCTTTTGCACCGCCACGGTGCCCGTTATCCTACAGCTTGGGGTATGTCTAGTATATCTCTATCTTTATCAGCTCCCAGCCTCATGTCATCAAGCTTCTTACGGTGGACCTTCCAAGTTTGCTGGTCGTTTGCATGACGCAGCTGAAAACTGGCACGCAACTGGAAAACTTTCTTTTATAAATGACTGGTAGATATATTTCATACATTGCTTTTATTTTTACTACGTTTCTCATTCTTTGTTTACAAGGACATACAAACTCGGTGAAGAAGGTAATCTTTATAATTTGCATAATTTGTGCTCCTTCTAACCCACGCATAGTTTTGACGCCATTTGGACGACAGCAACTTTGTAAGTTCAAAATATCTACCTATGAGTATAGTTGAATTTAATTGACGTCAACATAGTTGACCTTGGTGTCTCTATGCGCCTGAAATATGGATTCTTGTTAAAGGCGAGTAAATGCCCTCATCCGTGTAGACGCTAATTGACTGTATTTATCACTCAAGAACTTCACCGACTCTAACACCATCCCCGTTTTCCGGACAGAATCTCAGTACGCTCATTCCTCGTTCTTATCTTACCTGCCAAAACCAACTTTCACTCAGGGATCGTATGCTAGCTTCTGCCATGAATTTTGCAATAGGCTTTTTTGGCTATCCTTTCGAGGGCCAATATCAGCAAACCATCACGATTGAGGCTCCTGGGGTCCGTTAAATAACATTTTCTCTTCCTCTCGATCCATTTCATTTATATGCTTTCCAGTATAACAACACTTTTGCACCATACGAAACGTGAGTCGTTTTGTCACAGCTCGCTTTATATGATGTTTTGATTTCGTCGCACGTAGTTGCCCGAATGCCCGAAACCCGTCCAAAGCTGATCGTGCTTTGCCTTATCTTCAAGAATGGACTTCTATCTATCTTCGTCACGCGCGTCATCGTCTGCAACACCATTTGCATGGTTTCGATTTGTCGTACGAAGATGTCTATACCATGCAACAGATGTGCGCATATGAGGTCGGTTCGTTCATGATACTGCATGGTTCTTCTGCTGTATTGAATGTGCTTGCGTTCATCTAGACTGTAGCACTCGGCTTTTCAAAGTACTGTGAGCTTTTTACTCAAGAGGAATGGGAAGGATTCAACTATGCGTAGGTAGCGCCTATTTTAGTTCCATGTCTCCCTGTTGACCACTTTCATTAGTATGGATATTATCTTTTGGTAGGAAAACTTTTCCCTATTATTATTTTTAATCACTAATTGTTTGCTTCCAAGGTACGATTCAGCTTTTGGTTCTCCCGTAGCCAGAGCGCAAGGTGTGGGATACATCCAAGAGCTTGTATCCAGACTCACGGAAACGCCAATCGAAACTCACAACTCTTCTACAAACTCGACGCTTCATGACCCGATCACGTTCCCCTTAGGGAATAGCTTGTATGTTGATGCTACGCATGAAGTAGTAGTCTTGAATGGTAAGTGTACTGCGAGTAGTTCGTTTTACGGTGCCCTCAAGAGATCGTGCTCTTTCCTTTTTTCTTAGTAATCACTGCCCTCAACTTGTCCACGTTTGCTGCTGCTGGACCCTTGCCAGCTGATCATATTCCCAAGAAACGGTCCTTCAGGACTTCTGAGCTGGCACCATTTGCTACCAATATCCAGTTCCAATGTGAGCACCAGTTGTTTGATCAAATTTCTTTGAACTCATATCTGTGTCTTAGTACTGTCTTGCACGTCCGAGCCAGACCCACAAATACGCATTATCATCAACGACGGTGTCGCTCCACTTACAGGTATCAAAGGTTGCCCGGAGCAACGAGATGGGATGTGTTCCGTCAATGCCTTTGTTGAGGGACAGAAGGAAATCATCAGGACGACAGACTGGATACATGACTGCCATGGAGATTGGGCAGTTCCAGCTGGTCCTTTGTGGGAGACTACCACTGGTGACGCTCCGAAATGATAAGACGCGGCCAGTGATTATGGTAGAAATGGCCTGCATAATTTACGTTGAGTCGTCGCCGTATATAAATCATATCACGATCTTGTCACCTATCACGTGTCCCCAGTGAGATAGCGAATGTTGAACACGGGACCTTGACGTGATCTTTATGTGGCACGTATACTTCTATCTGTGCTAATATTATATATCTCAGCCTTGTGCACACACCTTCAGCCAAGGTTTTATGTCCTCCATCTCGGCTATGTCCTATCTCCTGAGCTATGTTAGCCCAACCACAAGCAATGCATTCCACGGTTTCCCTCGCCCTGCCTTTATCAATCAATGTGACATGACTCTCTAGAATACACCTTGGGAATTCCAAGGTTGCGGGCGAGTACTTGAGGCTTGATACTTGTTATCGCAATTGGTAGTGCCCTTCCTCGGAAATGGTCAATCATTTTGTAGGCCAACTTTGGGTGGGCTTTGTGCTGTCTCTATGCTTGCACTTCAGCACTGTGGCCTCGGAGTTATTGGTCAATACGACTCTTCCTGATCTATATGAGGCCTCTTTGACAGAATTGCAAGCGGGTCTCACTGCTGGGCAGTTTACGAGTGTCGATTTAATCACGGCCAGTCATCTCCTATGTACAAGGGATTGACACGCTGACGAAATGTATAGGCATATTTTGCGCGCATCCAGGAAGTTAACTTGGAAGGCGCTGCTTTGCGAGCTGTTATTGAGACGAACCCTTCTGCCTTGATGGAAGCTGCGGCGCTTGATAAGGAACGTTTGTTATCAGGACCTAGGAGTGCATTGCACGGTATCCCTGTTCTTGTCAAAGATAATATTGGAACTGTTGCATTTGAAGGTATGTGTCTTCTGCTTGACATAATGGCGAATTCTAACATTTGACGTCACGTAGGGATGAACACGACGGCAGGATCGTACAGTCTTCTTAAGTCCATCGTCCCCGAAGACTCTGGTGTTGTGAAGAGATTGCGCAAAGCAGGAGCTATAATTTTGGGTCAGTGATAGTTCCCTTTTCAGTACTGTTGGGTTGTCAATGAATTGTGAAAATATAATCAGGTAAAGCCAACTTGTCAGAGTGGGCTCACTATAGGGGCAATATTGCATCTGGTTGGTCTGGGCGTGGTGGACAATCGACCAATGCCTATTACCCAAACGGAGATCCTTGCGGTTCATCCTCCGGTTCGGCCATTGCTTCATCAATTGGTCTCACCGCGGTCTCTTTAGGGTTGCGTGGAATTTGCTTTGATCATCAATGAGTAGAGTTTGACAAACTATTTGCAGGACTGAAACCGATGGAAGTATCACCTGTCCTGCCAATCAAAACAATCTTGTGGGTATCAAACCGACTGTTGGTTTGACGTCTCGTGCGGGAGGTGAGTGCGAGCTTTGGGAGGTGCTCTCGCTTGTAGCTGTTGATAAATCGTACACTTCTAGTCATTCCCATCTCGGAACATCAAGATACGGTAGGCCCGCTAGCGCGATCAACGACTGACGCTGCCATTGTGCTTTCGATTATAGCGGGAAAGGATCCCAATGATAACTTTACACTGGCGCAGCCTTATCCCGTTCCCGACTATACTATGGCGCTGAGCAACAGCTCTCTTGTCGGTAAACGGATTGGTGTCCCGCGATCGGTGTTTTTGAATGATAGTATTACGGGTAACGATCCTTATGTCAACGTTGTATTTGAGCAAGCATTGGAGGTCCTTCAGAGCCTTGGAGCAACGATTGTGGACCCAGCTGACTTGCCATCTGCGTATGAGATTGTCGCGTCTAACAACGAAACTGTCGTACTCAACACTGATTTTAAGGTAGTACATGTCTAGTCCACTATGATCGTTTGCTAAAGAAATTTGTTAGATCCAACTAAACGCGTACTTCGAGTCTTTATTAGCCAATCCTTCTGGCGTCATGTCTCTTGAGGATCTGATCATGTTCGATAACGCCAATCCAACGCTTGAAGAGCCTACCGGATATACGGATCAATCTGAGTAAGAACCTTCGCACTCTGAAAGTAGGCTGAACTCAATGCAATACACATCCTAGACTTATTGGAGCAGAAGCGACCACTGGTTTTAATTCGTCCTACTATGCTTCTTTGGCCTTTGACAAGGAGCTAGGTGCTACCAGGGGAATTGATGCCGCACTGGAAATGTATACCCTGGACGCATTGGTGCTTCCGGCTCCAGGATATACCACTGTTCCTGCCGGTACGGGCTTCTCTCCTATCAGATAAGAGATCACTCCTGATACCTTGCTTCACTTCACAGCCATTGCTGGTTATCCAATCGTCACAGGTAAGTCAACGCCATACGGGTGTTCAATTCTCAACTCAATTCCTGACTTTACATCTCAATCAGTGCCCCTTGGTTTCTATCCTGAAAACGTCACTATTGGAAGTGCTGGCCCTAACACGTACTACCCCGCTCCCGGCATGCCTATCGGTCTATCATTCCTTGGGACGGCGTGGAGCGAGTACGAGCTTGTTGGGTTTGCGTATGCTTACGAGCAGAAAACTCAGACAAGGCTGCAAAGGCTGGCCTATGCTTCAGCTATACCTACTACGCAGCTAGTAGATGTTATTGGTATGTAGTACACACGGACTGTTAATCGTGACGTAAATGCAGAAAGTTGTCCGTCGTTTGCGCCCATGTGTCGATATGAATAAGGTGGTCATCGTCGCGTTGGGTGAAAGTACAGCGCCTCATCCCTGATATTTGACCGTTCTCACACATAGTAGATCGGCCACGTCTTGTAGGATAAAGTCTTCCACAAGTCATATCTTCAGCCTCTTTGCGCTTGACAGGTAAGATTACCCGATCATCCGATAATTTACCCATGTCAGTGATCATGTTTCTTTGTAGGATTACGCGTGAGCCTTTTGGAGAGCAAGAAAGTCATTGGGTCTGGCTTCTTTTTGAGAGAATCCACGAGGTGTCGCGAACAGCGTTCCCAGTTAAGAGGCGTTATGTTATGCCTTCTGACACATTGATAAGAGTATAAGTATTAATATTTGGTCATTTCTCTCCTAACTGCCCCGGGTTCTGTGTACTTGTGGTTTATCTGGACTTGTCAAACATCCTATGCTTGCTAAAAAGTTTAAAGTAGCAGTGTGGTGAGTGTCATCTCCTCTGGCATCGTTGGCTCACTTCATATTCGGGTCAGCGGAGGAGGTGTTGGGGGTCTCACCGTTGCTCTGGCTTTATCCAAGCATCAGGATATCGAGATAGACGTATACGAAGCTGCGTCACAATTCACCGAAATCGGCGCAGGTGTAGGGATATGGCCACGCGGATGGGCCATTCTGCAAGATCTTGGACTCCATGAAGACCTGATGACAGTTGGGCATGCATTGCCGACTGATGAGTATGGTACACCCTGCCCCTCGGCAATTCGATCATAGCTGACTTTGATCTAGTCTCGGCATTTGTCCTTCGAAAGAGTGATCAGGTAGTGGGGCTTGAATTCCACGATATCCTGTCCAAAGGTTGGTGCCTTCACCTACTTTGCCGTCGCCATAGTTTACTAGTTCATGAAACAAATTGGATTAGGTCATTTGATTAGATTTCACCGTGCTCACTTTCATGGCGTGCTGTTAAAACACCTTCCGTCTACCTGCAGAACCCACTGCTCTAAGCGCCTCAAGACATACAAGCAACCAGATATAGGACCAATACAACTTTACTTCCAGGATGGATCAACCGCTTCCTGTGATGTTCTAATAGGGGCGGACGGCGTGAAATCTGTCGTACGAACTTGCATGCTTCAAGAGCAGGCAGATGAAGCAGCAAGAAGAGGCGATTTGGAGATGTCACAGAGTATACTATCGTGCATTGAGCCTGTCTGGAGTGGGTTCGTTGCTTATAGGACGCTTATATCAAGCGATAAGTTACGAAAGCAAGCGCCAAACCACCGCGCTCTGACAACGCCTACACAGGTGCGTTCCCACCACGGGTAGCCATTGTAGATTTGACGTCACTTTTTATAGTATTTAGGGAAAGATGCGGTCAGATTTCATTATTTCCATTGAGTATGGCACTGAGCTTATTTGGTATCGTGGTTTAGTACATTTTGGTTTATCCAGTGTCGAAAGGGGAAAGCATCAACTTTGTGGGATTCTGTTTCGATCCTAACCATGAGAATACCACGTTTTCTGGGCCTTGGGTGAGGGAAATGACTAGGGAAGAGGTCGCTGTCCCATTCGCAGAATTCGAACCAGAAGCGAAGACTTTGATTGAGGTAGGTTGGGTTACTTCGTGTCAGGATGCATCATCTCGAGACCACTGGCAGCTGATATCAACTTATGCAGTGTATTGACAAGGCAAATTTATGGGCTATATACACTGTGAAACCGTTACACGCGATGAACTTCAGACGTGTCACTTTACTTGGAGATTCTGCTCATTCAATGGTTCCTTCCCAAGGTGCAGGCGCAGGACAAGCTATCGAGGTGAGTATCTTGGGCTTCTCTTGATGCATCGAACCAGAGAGTTAAATCGCATATATCGTAGGATGCTTGCGTGCTTGCCAAACTTCTTGGTCATAAGCTGACGAACATCGAGTCTGTTTGCTATGCACTCGCCGTCTATAACGAGATCCGCCTTCCCTTTACAAAGGACATTGCCCACAGGTCGTATGAGCAAGGAAAATTATCGGTTTTTCAAGGCATAGAATTTGATGGGTGTAATTTAGACGATGTACGGGCCAGATTAGCGCTTCTAGGCGACAGACTTAACAAAAACTGGGATTGGGCATGGTTGACCACGATAGATGACTCGCTGCAGAAAGCCATTCTATTATTGGAAAACGGTGTTCCATCTGTTCCATCCATGTTATAAGCCCTTTTGTCGTGTATTCTCTTCGAATTGAATGTATAAATAATGCATCAGCAGCATCAACAAAAAGAAAATGTGGATAAGCAAAAATGAGGGTCCAACTGGGATTCGAACCCAGGATCCCTTGCAAGCCAATTTGGGAGAAACCGCCCAAAGCAAGTATCTTACCTCTAGACCATTGGACCTTGCGATGTTGCCTTTTATATATTGTGCCATCTACATTGTTCCAAAAAATGTATGCCTTAGTTGCACCTCAAAAAACACCATAACATTCTGACCTTCAGCTCCAACGCAGACTATATTGCCAGTGGTTTCTCTTTGTTTCAACCAGTGGCTATCTGCGTTCCCTAAATTTGCTTCGATCTTCTTCAATTTCTATTCGGTCAGTCAGCGCCTACTAGACCGTGACACCCACATCTCGTGCCAGTGGCACCGAGCATTTTCACACTCACCATCCTATAAGCCACTGTTGGGACTCGTCCAAATATACTTTGTAACTTGAAGGTGATTTCCGATTCACCTAGTTCGGACCAAAAGCGGCCGGGTATCTTGTTATGTGGCATCGTTAAGCATAGGCAATTCTTCAACGTTCCCGGGCCTATTCGTCAATGAAGCAAAGATTATGTACGCAATATGTTCCAGCTATAGCTTGCTAATAACGCTTAATCTTTGGTTATACGCACTGCACGCTAATCTTTCTGAGATCACACAGCAATAAGGCCACCCATATGGACATGAACATAGCTATAACTAGATCACAACCTTCCGATATACGTTTAGCAATATGAACGCTCCTGTAGTGCCACAGGTCGAGGATAGCTCTTATGTTTCCCCTCCCTGAAACAAGCTGTCCATAGGGTTTGGTAATGCCTGGACTTGGAGGGGGGCAGCCCTACTTCTTTTCTAACGTCCATGCTTTTGGACCACCTCATCGATGTTGAATCCCCCCCCCTTCGAATTACAATACTCTTGTTCGTATCATCTTGATTGGTGTTTGGTTCGAGACTTTGCTTTATGGTATGTTGAGCTCTTACGCTTACAGAAATGTAGTACTGAATACTAGGGGGGTCTTCTTAGGTGTAAAGTTAGTTTCAACATTCACCGTGAAATTCTCCAGCATAATAATCGCTATTGTAAATAAAGCATAATATTGTTCGGATGTTGCATGTATATCTTCTTGAAGAAGGAAGGACCCGTTGGAAGGTGAGCTGAATCCTTCCGTTTAGCTCTTAATCGTTCATACTACCCACCTGGCAACATAGAGTTTTGCTATATTCATCTATGGTTTCTTTTGCGTTGGCGTCATCAAGCGCCATCCTAGCACTCATTCAACTAATCGAAGGGTTCGAAGCTGTTATGTATAGCGAAGCCCAGTTAGAATATAGTATAGGATTATCGGGTGGTAATGGGCTTAACACAACCACCACCACAATATATCTTACCAATGTGGGCTAATCCTCCCATCGTACATGCATTATACTGATGTTGCTGGTATCAGGTTGTTGCTCAGGATACTTTACTGGTAAGTAAGGTTTGTTTTCTGTGCCCTCGTAATACACTAAGTAACATCAATACCGTTGTTCAGTTATGGAGATTGTTTGCCTTATGGAACAACAGGAAGAGATATCTTTTCCCTGTGCGTGCATTAGGTACTGTTGCTATTTGACACGTCATTTACTCAGTCCCATATCGTCAAAAAAAGGTTATTTTACTTATTGGAGAATATGGTAAACTTTATGGCGCTTAGTTCTCGGTACAATGACTCACTCTCACATCCTTTTTTTCAGCCTCTGGGATAATTTGTATAGTACATCTTGGCCAACAAAACGCAAGCCTTAACTCAAATGGTATAGCATTATATGCGATATCTGCCTGGGCTGTCAATACTGCATTCCACATCTGCGTTACTGTTGGTATTTCCTATCGTCTATGGACAGTAGGACGGCGATCAGCAATGATCGGAGGACAGATTGGACATACATACAAGGGCACTGTTATTATGGTGGTAGAATCTGGATTTTTAGCTATATTATGTGCGGTCATTTTGCTTATTTGCTTCTCGGTGGGAGATACCGTGGGTTTGATAGGTGTGAATGTGGCTGCACAAATGGCTGTAAGCAAAAAATTTCTTATAGCTCCTCGCTATGTAACAATTGACGGTTGGGTTCCACTGCTGATAATCGTTCGCGTTGGATTTGGACTCAAGTGGAGTTTCAGAAAAAGTACTTGTCCCACTCCCGATCCTGACAATGTTCATGCACGGTTCTCCTTGACCTCGGCACAGCTGGGAAATGTACATGTTAGGGGGACCACAGACGAGCCTTCTGGTTTGGAACTCAAAAGTTTTGGCCTGGCTTAGGGAACGCTCAGGGATGAAAAAGTGTGGCCAGAGGATATAACAGTAGCTGGGACGTGTAGCTGTAGTGTATCGGGGATGGCACTGGCAAATAAAGATAAAGCAAACATACAACATCACAGCAGGGAATTCGAAGCTCGTCCCAAGGTTCCTCCGAGTGACAACCCCTAAGGTTCGGATCTGTGGGAATAGCTATAGCCCTCAGCTGGAGCTTCCAGCCCCTTAGGTGAGTGGCGCAGGAGCACTGGTATGCTCATTCTTGATGTCAGAAACGCTGGGTCCGGCTGGGATTTTCTTCTATGAATCGTTAAGGTCAGACAGACATGCCTTAATGCGATGCCGAACTGTCAACCAAAGTCCAGGAAGTCCATGAGGCTTGCCCTCATTGTAAGACTGTTTGTCAATAGCACGAACTGCAGTTCCGAGTGACAGTGGGCGATGTTGCCGATATTTGCTCGAACAGCACATGTGAGCGCCGCCGCTCAATTGCAAAGCTTGTTGTTCGTTTTTGACAATTTGGCTAGGACAAAATCATCTATGTCACAGTATGTGCATGTCAGATAAGACAGAGAATTTAACTCGGTTTTGAGGCGAGTTGAAGCTATTGGATCGTATTTTAGTACAGTTGGGTCGCCGAGTCATCTCCGCGTTGACCGATGAATGGGGATAAGGTGAGGAAAGTAGAACCTGGAAGGTCGCACGCTCATCGTGGTGATTGAATGGCTAAGATGTGCCAGTGGTAGTCCTGCGTCTCTGACTTTCTTCCCACTCACCCACTACCACCTCGCACACCTCGCAAAAAACACTTGTTTCAAAACCTTTCATCGTCTCAAAATCTAGAATGTCTAATCCAGGTTTTTTCTATGGAGCTCAACACACGAACATCACTGGTAGCCAGATGAATGATGTTGGTCACGATCAGTATAACACGACGATTACAAACATAAAGAACCTCAGTCTTACCGTGCCGCAGCAAGAAAATGTACCGGTTTTGTCCTTCAACGACGCCCCCGTCGACCTCCTATCTATCCATTTCGCTGGTCGAGACCAGGAGTTGCACACTATCAAACAATTATTTGGTTCCATTCAGGACGACGTACCAAGCCGCTGTGCCATATACGGGATGCCCGGAATCGGCAAGACACAACTTACGCTACAATATGCGAAGTTATCGTACCAACAGAAACAATACACTTATGTCTTTTGGATATCGGGCGCTACCGTTGAGAAGCTGAATCAAGGCTTCGTCAAACTCCTGAACCTTGTTTCTCATCCGGAACGTAACAATCCCGAGCAGGATGCAAGGCTCGTCGCTGCACGCCGCTGGCTCGAGGATTGTAGTGCTACTTCCTGGCTTGTTGTGTTCGACAACGTCTCTAGAGATACACTCAGTTTTCTTCGAGAGCACGTCCCTCGGAAGAATGTTCGGGGAAATATTCTTTATACAACTCGAACAGAAGATGTTGCCAAGGCCGTAGTCAATGCTGCAGGACAGCAGCAGCACATCCTTGAACTCCGCGTTCTCGACATCAAGGATGCTGCCAGCCTATTTTTCCAAAATGCCGAGATTGACGAAGAAGACACATCTTCCTCTTCTGTTGTTGGCGATGCGGAGTCTCTTGTAAAACGAATAGGGAGATTGCCTCTCGCAATTGTTCACGCGGCTTCTTTTATGAGAGAATCGGCTCTCACACTCTCAGAACTACTAGAGCTCTACGAAAGTGCCGAGAATAAAATGGAGGTTAGTGGGGTGTATATTGAAACTTAAATTCTCACCGTTTCACCTATGAATTTAGATATTGAATTGGGAGAATGATCTGACCCCGTACGAGCAAGCATCAATTGTTGCGATGTTCAAGAGCATTTTGGAGCGTCTATCTCCAGAGGTTCGCCATGTCTTGAACATACTTTCCTTCTATGACCCCGAAAGCATAGCAGTTAGCGTGATTGTTGGTGGCGCTAAGGCCTACATTCAGGTCAAGTCCAAATCACAGCTTGAAGCTGCTCCGACTAGTAGTACTACGCAGTCCGATGACCAGACAGATTTGATGCTACAGTCTCAAACCGATGACACTGTTGACGAGCCAGACAGTGGCGAAATAGCAGATCTGATTTATGATCCAGTATGGAACTCACTGGTCGATTTGGTCCGCTCCCCGGTTCAGCTTGCAAAAGCTATCCAGCAACTGCAAAGTTTGTCTATAGTGCAGAAACGAAGCAATGATGGTATTCGCACATTGCATATCCATGACCTGTTTAATTTCATGGTCAGGGAGACTCTCGTTGCAGAGGGTAGTTGGCTCGAGTGGTTTAACCGGGCAGTGATTCTAATCTGCGGTGCTTTCCATGTTGTGGAGGATTACGAATCATACAAGTGCTGGCCTCAGTGTGCCATGTTTTCTTCGCATATGCAGTCGCTGTTATCTTTGCAAGACGTGTACGGAGTGGACAGCCTGCAGCTTGCTAACGCTAGTACTGCACTGGCAGGTTACATGAAGAGTCAAGGGAGGTATGATGAAGCGGAAATAATTTGTAGCAAGGCGGTTACTATGCTGCAAAGCCATCTTGAACCTACCGATCGTTTTGTTTTACATGCCACACAAGCTCTGGCCGATATTTTCTTAGGGAAGGGAAAATATGATGAAGCAGAGCAACTTCTTAGGAATATCGTAGCATGTGCTGAGGAGCTTGGGCCAGAGCACCCATTGATACCAGGATCAGAAAGCATATTAGCGAGAGTCTATCTCTCACAGGGGCAGTATACTAAAGCAGAGAAATTCTTTGCAAAGCTACTGGCCATTAATCGGGAGAAATTTGGGGAAGATCATCCTCAAACGTTACGAAAAATGCACAACCTGGCAACAGTCTTTCAGTACCAGGGGAAATTCATTGAAGCAGAGGCAATGTATGAAAAAGTACTGATTGGAAGGGCAAAGCTAGGAGAGGATGAAGACTTGAGCAGACTAACAACTATGCAAAATTTGGCAATGATGCTAAAATCTCAAGGACAGTTGGGAAAGGCAGAGAGATGGCTGAAAGAATCTTTGGAAGGAACTGAAAATATAATAGGAGCAGAACATCCAGACACACTGATAATAGTGCATAACCTGGCAGGTGTATACAAGTCTCAGGGGAAGTATGATGAAGCAGGGGAACTATATCAGAAAGTCAAGGTTGGCCAAGAGAAGCAACTTGGTTCTGAACACCCACTTACACTGAAAACAATGTACAATATAGCAACAGTGCATGAATTCCAAGGACAGTATAGTGAGGCAGAGGAACTCTATAGAGAGGCATTGGCAGCCCAAGAGAAGCATCTTGGTCCTGATCATCACCATATCCTGGCAACAGTTCATAGTCTGGCATATGTGTGTAGAAAGAAAGGCCAGTTCAATGAGTCAGAAGCATTGTACAAAAGAGCATTGAAAGGCTTGGAGGAACAGCTTGGAAGGGAGCATTCAGAGACATTAGCAACTGTCCATGACTTGGCATTACTGTATAGCTCACAAGAACAATACAGTGAAGCAAAAACACTGTTGACTAGAGCACTAGAGGGCCATGAAAAGAAATTTGGGACTGAGCATCCAGGCACACTTGCAATAATGTGCAGTATAGCATCACTATATCAATCACAAAATCAACATACAGAGGCAGAATTATTATACAGCAAGATTTTAGAAAAGGAAGAAAGATATCTTGGCACTGATCATCCAAGCACATTGGCAACAATGCACAACCTTGCAATGCTGTATGATAAACAAGAGCAATATAGTAAGGCTGAGAATTTATACAGCAAATTACTACCAGGGATGAAGAAGCGCTTTGGCCCTGAACACCCAAACACATTGGAAACAGTCAGTAACCTTGCCATGGCATATGAGTTGCAGGGAGAATACAACAAAGCAAAAGAAATGTATACTCAGGCACTCATAGCCTCTCAGAAAATTTATGGGGGTGATCATTCTCGAACCTTGTCAATACAGTCACAGCTTACAAAATATGGCATGGAAAATACTTGTACTTAGAATTTGGATGGGTATGTTACTTTTCATTCTATGTTAGCAGAATAAACTGATAGATGGCTTATGGAACCAGCAATCTACAAGCAGGCAAAGCTACTCAAGTTGAAATTTATGGGCAAAGTAACAGGGAAAAAAAGAAAACTGGGTGAATAAGATATATGATGTGAATGTACATATCTAGTTAACAAAATGTGATATCATCAAGAGGTTATGATATCAATGTAGATTACACCAATATCATAAGTTTTGGATTAAACATAGAGGTACAGTATGTATTATATAGCATACAATAGGGATATGCTAATGGCTCTTCTGTTATCTTATTATCCTATAGTACTCTGGGAACAGTGATGAGCCATTTTACCTATTTTGTCACCTCTTCTATATGGATATATATGCTTCAAACATTATTTTGACAAAGCCAAAATATGTGATTTTTCTCTAACTTCTCTATGGCTACTGACAGTACTAAAGGGTTAAAGACATGGCAGTTCTGCAGTAGGTACTGGCGTCAAGAATATGGAGTAGAAAAAGATTACATTCCTAGGCTTTACTAAACCCATTTTTGAAGCCCATAGGTTAATATAGCATAAGTGGGAAAAAATATATCTTTTGGTTGGAGATTCATGGTAGTGCTAAAGCAGATACCAACCCTTGGGGATATGGGAGAAGTATTTGGGGAGATGTGATAGGTGTGAAGATTTAGAAGGTGATGATGTTTCCAATCTGGCTTGTTTGTCTGCCAATCTTTTACCCAGCAATCCATTGAATAGTTAGTGGGAATGAATTAGAGTGTCTGTGCTTGAGCGTTGAGAGCTGGTTGTTGAAGTAGTCTAGAATATAGTGGGTGGGCAACCACTGAAGCTGTGATTATGGTTTAATTGTATGTAAAAGTAAAAGTGGAATAAGAAATTGTGTAGCTTGACTGAAGAAGCTCAGTAGTGAGGACAATATTATGCACCAAAGTTTATTGGTAGCATGGATAGGTGTCAGTAACAAAACAGAAGTTCAAAAGGTTTGCCTTTGCACCACATAGGCATAGTGCCACATAGAGTAGTAATTATTATCACCTTTTCTGTCCTTGTGGCTGATCAGCACTTGTCTCAATTAGATAAACAAGTTATGCCTACCCTCACCTTTTCATCTGATACTTTCTGCACTCTACAAATTGGCAAATTGGAAAATTTTTGTGTTGTTGCTTAGCTACATATTGAGTCCTTGCTTTCATCTCCTGTCCCCCACTTTCCTTTCCCTTATCCAGTTCCACTATAGGCTCAATAATGTCTTTTCTGCTTTCACCCCCAGTCATTTCTGGATCCCTATCATTGTCCACTCCTTCATCACTTTCACACTCCTTTTACTCATCCTCACTGTACCTGATATCATATCACCTCTAATTATCTGCTTCTGTTTCTGATCTGTTGATTACCATTGCCCTGCTCATCTCAGCTAAGCCCTAACAGCCAATCCAAATTGGGTAGTTGGTCCACTTCAATAATATCAATCTTCTATCATCCACCATTAAATCTTTGGTCACTTCCCTTGCCTGATTAGAATGTGGCTGAATAGCTTTTGAGCTGGAGAAAGTCCATCCACTTGTGTTGCCAATGTTCCTCACTGTCTCATTTACTTGGGCACACTTATCTTTTGTCTATTGTCTCTGCTACAGCCACAGTTACCATATTTTTCCTGGGAGTTATTTGTTCCAGATGAGAACTACTTCCCTCCCTTGTTTAACTAGGTGATCCACTATAACAAACCCTTGGTAAGGCCATGGAACTTCCAGATCTAGACTAGGAGGTGAACCAGTAGCTCCAGTTCCTTTATCTCATCAGAACATTTATTTGCAGTGTAATTACCTTGATTCTTGAATCAATCTTATGGATACATATTTTTTAGAATGCCTGACTGATAATAAGGAAGCTCTGTGTTGATAATGATGTGTTAGTTTTGGTGATTCTGCACCTTTGTGCTACCTATATATTTTCATTCCTTTCTCTATCTATTCTTCTATCATTCACTATTGATTGTGTTCTCTATTATTTTGCCTTTGTGGCTGCTTTGTTTACCTTTGTTTACAAAACTTCGGACAGTACTACAGAGTCCAATGCTTCCTATTCTCTAGTTACTCACATTAGACTCTAGGTACTGTATACCTGTCATACTCTCTAATAATATAGTTACTCACATTGGACTCTAGTTTTAGTCCCTGATTGCTCTCAGCAAGTGGCTAGACACTTCCTTCAAGCTTTGTTCTTAATATGATGTTGTTTTTGTCTCATCCTCTTTTTGCTGTATATTGCTATGACTTTACAATTTTTTCCCTTGCTTTTTTTTTGCTATCACATGGTGGGGATCGACTTATATGAGCCCAGCTTATATGCTGAAAACATTTTAGCTTTTTCCAGCCAATCAGAACACAGATATCCAATATCTTCAGCATATAAGCTGAGCTCATATAAGTTGATCCCCGCAGTGTCAGACTATTTATATATATATACAATCTGTAACACTTTGGATATTTCATTTCTTGTTTCTATCTTTTTCTTTCCTTATTTTAATAATCTCATCCTGTCCTACTCTCACAGAATTTATCATTATATTCCTTCACATTCTTCTGCATTTTTTCATGCACAGACATACTGTGTATAGGTTCACTTTCTCTTCACTATATAAACCCCTGTACTTTAATTTGTACACCATTAAATCACACCCCAATCACAATCTCATTCCATCTGAATTGCAATTCTATCAAGTATATAGAACCTCTCATCAGATTCCCAAGCTCAAGCCTACTATGTACTGCTACTTGTAATCCAGTATGGTCATAATACTTTTTGCTGCTGCTACTATCTACTGTCATTGTTGTCACTTTCCACTTTCCACTGTCTACTTTCTACTTTCCACTGTTGAAGTCACTGTTATCCCCTTTAAATTAAGTCCTTCTGAGAAGACCAAAGATTTGGGAGTTCAGACTTGGGGGTTCCTGACTGTTCAGAGGTTCAGGTTTTCTGCCTATTTTTGAATTATGCTCATTATGCTCTGCCACTTAACATGACCTTGTATCTTGCTCCCATACAGTACTCTGGATACTTGCTCTAATTTTCTGGCCCCAGACTGACTTTCAGTCTGCCATATGTTTTGCTCTGCATGTTACAACCAAGAGTTTGTATACTCTGGTGCATAACTTAGACAAGCAAGAGTGAAGTGAGTGGGAGTGGATACCCCTTATGATAGGACCAAGTTTGTTGTGGGTAAACAACAGGAGGACTCGCTGAGGAGTCTCCTTGATCTATTGGGGTTTATATATATCTACAGACTGTTTGTACATGTGTATTATACAGTTGATGAAGGCAGTGGCTGATGATGTCATAGGGCCCAGCCCATGTGACCAGCCCCACTGTGTGAGAGACTTGTTAGCTAGAATAAGAAAAAGGCAGCACGGCACGAGAACATGGAGTTTGAACAAAATGGAAAGTGCCGCATGACACAATGTGTGAAAACTACAGTAGAAAATTAAAGAGGAGAATGAAATTTAAAGGTCCGAAAATTGTGTATTGTAACACTACCCCCCTTCTAAGGCTCAACTTCCAGGCTCGACCAAGTACCGGAGGTAGTAGTTAAATTTTCGGGCATAGGTTGAAAAAGGGAATTAAAAAGTGTTGAATCCATGCCTCTAAGCTTCCTAGGAGCTGAGGGATTCTTAGAATAAAATTCTTAAACAGCTTTGTGGGAGTTGTCCAGATGGGTTTCTGGTTCCCACATTCTGTCTTTATCTCCATAGCCCTTCCATAGGACTAGGAATTCTAATTTTCCACGCTTCAAGCGTGCATCCAACACTCACTTGACTTCAAACTCTTCTTCACCTTCCTGGGTGACTACAACCGGTCCGGGCCGGTCCACGTTGTTGATGATGAGAACTGTTGTTAGAAAAAACATACACAAAAACAAACTAACACACAATCCTCCCAGATTCCACGGAACTTGTTTATGGGCTTTGCCTCCTGGTTGTTCGTGGGGTGGTACGTATAATGATCCTTCAAAGTAAAACCCAAAGATGTATGGGTGTGGGTTTTGAGGAGGAGGGATAGTTGGAATGCAGAAAAATAGGGGCTTTGTGGCGAGTATAGACGAGCACTACCTTGCTAATAGTAGCACAAGGTAGGTTTGAGAATGACAATATGATGAGGTGACAAAGTTCCCAGTGATAGCAGGCTCCTGACGCACAAACTGTAGTGCTCAGAAGGACTCTAATCGAAAGGGATGACAATCACTTTCAAAAGTGACGAGTGACGATGACAGCAGTTGACAGTGGTAGCAGTGGGAAGTGTTGTGACCACACTGGATCACAAGTAGTAGTGAGTAGTGAACTTGAGATTAGAGAAGAAGTCTGGATTCGAGTTCTTGTTGTTTTTTACAAGGTAAAATACAGGGGTTTATATAGCGAAAGAAAAGTAGGCTATGCACAGTATAGCTGTGCAAAAAGAATGAGAAAGAACATAAAGGAAGGAATGTATGCTGACAAATCCTGCGTAGGTAGTACAGGATAAGATTGTCAAAAAAAGGAAAAGAAAGGGATAGAACAATGAATGCTGTGAGTAATGTCACAGGTTTGTACAGCCATAAAGTAAAGTCCAATAGCAAAAAGAGAGCAGGAAAATCATGATGTCATGGGAAGATACAGTAAAAAAAAGGGCAAGGCAAAAAACTATCAGTATCAACACAGTTTCTTTATTGTCAATCAGGCATTCTAAAAAATATGTGTCCATAAAAATGATTCAAAAATCAAAAATAATTGCACTGTAAATGAATGTTCTGCTAAGAAAAAAGGAAACTGGAGCCACCGGTCCACCACCTAGTCCAAATCCGACAGTTCCATGGCCTTACCAATGGACTGGTTGTGTTGGACCACCTGGTCAAACGAGGGAGGGAGAGGAGTAGTTCCAATTTGGAACAAGTGAGTCCCAGGCAGCGTGTGGTAGGTGTAGCTGTAGCGAAGACAA